TTCAGCTATTCACTGCTACCTCTCAACCAAGATCTTAGTTTTAAATAGAATATTGATATCAATGTTTTTCAGTGAGAAGGGATTATGGTCAGCCAATCTAACTAGTTAGCAAACATCTGTTAACTATGAAATATAGAGTGTATGTGTTGTTTTTATACCACCATCAACAATATTCCGGCTATATGAGAAAAGCCTTTAAATGTTAATGTCTGTACCAAATAATCCAGTCATTTTTAGTTCAAGAGACGCCAACGCCATTTGGGTACGATGACACAGCATCAGCCATGCCCCCCAGCCAGACTTTCAATCGATAGTATCCTCACTCACAACCTGAACATTTTGCTGTGAGCTAATTCTAACCTAGAATCCCTACTGTTGCCGAAGGTGCCCGCCTCCTGCACCTAGCTTTCTGTACCCATTTTGTACAACCTGTGAGACACAAAGATAACATGAAAAGAAATGGAGTTTAAAGGCAAACGTTATCAAGATTGTAGCTCCAATTGTGTTACATGTCACAGATATTGCTGATGTGACAATAAATTTTAACTCACTACAAGTCACAGTCGAAAGGAAACGCAAGTCTCTTGTTATCTATAAACTTGAACCAGATATCTAAACAGTGATAACGTGAAGTGTTGAGAGGAGGTGGGTGGTATGTATTACTGATGTGTTGGAGCTCTGTTCAGTTGCTCAATCATCATCATCATTATCATTATTATCATCAATTTCTAATCCATAATCCATTGTCAACATGGGGAGTGGTACTGACTGTAAGTAATTCTTTGACGATTCTATAGAATATTTTAAACTCATGTCAGTTAATTTGTGTGTGTGTTCTTTGTTCAATACGCTTATATTCATGCAGTTTCTTCAGTACTGCATCACGCCATCAATCAGCTGATTTGATGTAGTGAGTGATGATGTGTATGAGAGAAATGTGGTGACCAGCACTTGTGACAAACAACATTGACTATCAAGCTCGTGACATCCGCCAATAGATCGCAGTAGGAAGCAGAATGACAGGAATTCAAAGGAAAATGTTGAGCAATCCGAACTTCCTGATTTCACCCTGTACTGATGTCATCAACATGTCAGTGTTTCCTTCAGGGATTGTGTCAAATGGTTTCTGGTCATTTTCACTGAGGTTTATTTCTGCAAAGAGTGAGAATTTTTTAATTGTACCAATCTGAATGTGCGTCTAATAATTTTGTGTCAGTTGTGTCGGACAACGAGACCTTGAAAGTATGTATTCGAAAGGGGAGAATGTGTATTCCAGAGCTGCTTCAGTTTGCTGGGGGTGGTGGCAGGGAAGCCTAGTGGTTAAAGCCTCCTCTCCTCACGCCCAAGACCTGGGTTCGATTCCCCTCATGGGTATAATGTGTGAAGCCCATTCCTGGTGTCCCCCGCCGTGATATTGCTGGAATATTGCTAAAAGCGGAATAAAACCAAACTCACTCACTCACTCACTCACTCACTCACTCACTCAGTTTGCTGGGCAGACTTGTGTCCCTATGTATGGCTCAAGTGAGTGGGTGAGCCAGTATGGTTTTACGCCGCTTTTAGCAATATACCAGCAATATCACGGCAGGGGACACCAGAGTGAGTATGGTTTTACGCGTATGGTTTTGGCAATAACATGGTGGGGGGACCAGAAATGGGCTTCACACATTGTACACATGTGGGGAATTGAACCTGGGTCTTGCCATGACAAGCTACCCTTGGCTTGATTATGATTCTAGATTGGTCACACTATACCCGGATCAAGGCTCCTTCCAAGTGGTAGACAGTAGAGACTCCTACATTAGGCTCCTGTGCTGTGACAGGACTGGAATACTGTTCAACGCAGCGTAAAATTGCCTTTTGTGTTTTGATAGGTTCCGTGCAAGAGTCACATGCCAACCACATTTGATTTGGCAGGCTGCCTGAATGAGTTTTTATTTATCTATGTATTGATTTGCTCAGAATGTATTATTACTTCATAAAAATATGAGTTCAGGGCAGAAGAATGACATTGCAAGAACTATTTATGTTTCTATACCAGCACTTGTTGAAAACAACATTGACTATCGTGACATTCACCAAGAGACTTACTTCCTGAAAAGGACCGCCTCCGTGGTGTTGTGGTTAGAGCATCCGCCCGGAGAGCGGAAGGTCTGGGTTCGATCCCTGACGGCAGTAGAATGACATTACAGGTACTATTTATGCTTCTACACAAACTTTGAGTGGTGGGGTAGCCTAGTGGTTAAAGCGTTAGCTCATCACACCAAAGGCCCAGGTTTGATTCCCCACATGGGTACAATGTGTGAAGCCCATTTCTGGTGTCCTCTGCCATGATATTGCTGGAATATTGCAAACAGCAGCGTAAAATCAAACTCACTCACTCACTCTACACAAACCTAATGTACATTCAATACTAATCAAATGGTAGCTCAGTTGTCAAGGCGTTAGCATACCTCGCCTAAGATCATGTTCAGTTCCCAACAGTGGTTTCCCTATAACAGGGTTTGGGTCAGGTTCGTGAGTCGGTTAATGCATTTCATCATGTCCCAAATGCATAGATTGATGACCATGATGTCAATTAATGGGTTGTATGGTCCAAGCTGGAAATTTTACAATCTGATCTGTTGGATTTGCATTTTAGAAGCTGAAAAATAATAGGAAAGGTATGCTACTTTGTTGATGACAACTTCTTTATTATATTATGATGTGGTGTTGTGGTGAAGGTTCTTATACCGTTTTCAAGCAAGAGTGAAATACTACAGCAAAGAACATCACATCATAATATAAGTTGTCATCCATATAGTAGCATACCTTTATCAATATTTACAATTTGCTGTCATATATTTGGAATACCGACGAGTGTGGTGTAAAACAACAATGCCTGCCTGAAATAAGTGATGTTTGACCCCATTTAACCTCACCTCTCAGCCGTTGTAAAAAAAGTGTTTTTGTACAAATGGTATATCCTTTTGTTCATTATGGGCAATGGGTAAGGCAACCTGTGAAAAATACATTAGTTACTAATTACAGACTCAACAGCAGTTATTCGTTACCATGGCAACATGTCCAACTGTGAAGTTGTCCGTGATTGTTTAGTTATTGAAGATGACTAGTGATTGTGGCCAGAATTTGGGTCACGTTACACCTAATTCTTGTTAAAACTCATTAGGAGTAGGTGTAGAAATGGCTTTATCTCGGATACAAGTGAAGGAACGGATTAGTTGTGTCATGATCAGAACGACTTGTTCGACTTCTACTGTCAGTATGTTTGTACTTACAGTGAAAAAGACTGCACAGAGTTTCATGGATGCATGTGTATGAATGTGTCAGCATAAATATTTCTGTGTTTTAAATTGAAGGTAAGTGTTCGTTGTGGGAATGATGTCCGACATTTCATTGGCTGTAGTGCAGAAGATTAACAATTTGAGTTGAAAAGGTGAAATATTTGAAAGAGTATTTGCTTCAGCTTAATTTTTTGTATGGATTTTGGTGGGTCTGTTTCCATGTGTTAGTTCCATGAAAGTTTGTAGCAGTTCAGTGGTAGAGTTATGTTTGTCAGTAAGTCACTCGTAGCCTAATTGTTAAAACGTTCGCTTGTCACGCTGAAAACCCGGGTTCGTTTCCCATATGGGTACAATGTGTGAAGCTCATTTCTGGGGTCCCCTGCCGTGATATTGCTGTAATATTGCTAAAAGTGGCGTAAAACTAAACTCACTCACTTACTCACCCATCATGGATCAGATAAACACTCTATTGATGCCTGAAACAGGTTAGTCGTCAGAGAATGGATACATTTTTCATGAATACTATGTACGTTGTCTCTTACAAAGTTGCAGTTGGTCAGGATTAAGCCAAAAGAATAGTATTTCAAAGACAAAATTTCTAATAACAAGGATCTTTACTTTCCAGTTACTGAAAATTAGAGAATGATCTATTGAAATTGAAATGTGTCCATCATTCACACACCATGTCTTGACAAATACTGTCTTATATTGAGTGGCAACACAACAGTAACATGATACCTAACACTGTGATGCAATGACTGCTCCCTGGCCTCATGAAGCATTGAATAACACAAATTTACACACATACATGAAATTTATGCATTAATGCTGAGAATGTGGCAGTATTTCATGTCTAATATAGATTTAGTATAGATAATTTCCAAATCCCTAATTTTAAAACATAAAACTTGCTTTATGTGACAATTCGTAGCATACCTCTACAATGAAATTAAGAGAAAGTATTGCAGGCGGATAAATAGGCAGCTCACTCGTCAGCTCACTCATCTCTCATGCAGGTATTTGATGTACATTGTTAAGTCAATAATTGCTTGTTTGAATGTTTGTAGATAGATGTGTAGGTTTTAATTATTGGCAAGGAGTGTCTTGTCTCTGATTTTCTTGTTTTGACTGATTCAATGTCACTCAGTATTTTATTTTAGGGTTCACCAGACTTGCAAATTTTGCATCACATAGGCGTACCAATTTGGACAAAAGTATGGCCATTTAAATTATTAAAACTGTTCACAATCGTATCAAAGACATTTCTGTTTTTACATCATGGTTAATTTTTTCACCCTACAATCTAAATCTTCCATCATGGCTGAAGCCTCGAAGGATGCGTAATGATGTGAAATCATGTTCTTGAAATGATGAGTAGTGCTTCACATCTTCAATCAGGAACCTCCTTGTGCCTTGGAGGGGTTTGGGGGTAGCCGAGTGGTTGAAAGCATTAGCTTGTCTCACTGTTGGCTGGGGTTTAAATACCCTCAGTGGTACAATACGTGAAGCCTATGGCGTCTGTCCCATTGTTTTGCTGGAATACATTCAAAACCATAATGCTCACTCATGTCTTGGACCCCTTGACCTCACAGAATAGATAGACCAAGATAGATCAGTTACACTTTAGATCAGAACCTGTCTGTCATGTTCTGGAATTCAGCATTCTCAAAAATGTGATTATTTTGTCGTAATGTAATTTTTTTTGTTTCTTTACAGAAAAATATGGTTTACTCAGTTCACGAAGCCAAATTCCACAAGTCAAACGCCATGACAACCTCGAATCAAGGACTTAGCGGCCAGCTCTACCAGGTGGAACAAGTCCCAGAACATTTCCATGAACTCTTCATTCTTCGAGGGTACCGACATCCCAAAAGTTCAGCCAAACAATGCATCCTAAGCCTGTTTGACGCTACAAACGAAACTCTGAATTTCTGGACCCATTTCCTGCCCTCCTGGTACTTCTTGTATGTAATGAAGGGCCTAGCCGAGACGTTGGACTTCCGCCATGACAGCTACACGTGGCCACTGCTTGCCTATATGTTCGCCTGCTGTATTTTTCCTCTTGCAAGTGCTGTTGCCCACACGTTCAACACGATGTCAGATAATGCTCGACACATATGTTTCTTCCTGGACTATTCTGCGTTAAGTTTGTTTAGTTTCGGCGTCGCCCTTGCCTACCGTGCCTATGTCTTCCCCGCCAGTCTCAGGAATACCTGGTATGCCGATTTCTACATCATTGGTGCAGCAGCCAATGCACTTATTTGTACCATTGCCGCCTGCGAGACACGGTTTATGAAGTCCGGTATTTCACGGAAGTTTTTACGACTTGGAGCTTTTGCCCTGCCATATTTTTATGATAGCATTCCCATCGCGATAAGATTTTCTACCTGCACACCAGAAGAATGCGAATTAAGTGCAAATTATCTCCACTTCCGTCAGTTTGTTTTTGCATTTTTGGCAGCATTCTTGTATTCTACACATCTGCCTGAGCGTTTACACCCGGGCAAATTTGACATTATTGGCCATTCTCATCAGCTGTTTCATGTAAGCTCAATCATGGCAACTTTCGACCAATTGCAAGCCGTGTTACAAGACATGCAGGAGCGAAAGCATATGCTCTTATCAGAATGGGAATTTTCTGCAGTGCGGGATAGTATCGGCTTAATGGCAGGACTTGTTTTGATAAACACTTTTATTATTCTATTATTTTCTCTGAGACTTTTGCGCAGAGCTAAAAAAGTTGTGTAAAGTGTGGATAGTTTTGGAAATATTTTCATATGACAGGACCAGGTTGAAGGGGAACCCTCACTACCAGTTTGTTTGGTGTTTTCTCTTTCCACGATGTGAGCATGGTTATTGGTGTTATTTTGCACGTTTATTGTCGATTGTTGTTGAATATGTGAGTTTGATATACCAACGTGCAGTGCCTTTGTCAACTGGTAGACGGGTTTCCCTTTTATCAAAAATGTTTTAAATATTTTTTGAATATCCTTAGCAGCTTTCTGTGATAACAGCCATTGCTGAGAAGCTTGCTTTGTTGTACTCATTGTTATTTTGTGCCATGTTTCATATTAGAAGCAATAATAATATATAGTGTTTGAAAATTAGGTGGTCAGTCGATGACATTAATGTTATGAAACGGACCCTGAACAGGTGGACTTTCATGCTTAATTTCAAACACTGCTTATCAAAAGATTATATTCAAAGGGGCCATGTCAAATGTTTGCACTATTTTTTTCTAAGGTTCATTTATTTTCTACTAATAAAACTGCCTGATATAATTACAATATTCAGTGACAATTTCATATGTTGTCAGATAAGACATATCCTACATTAGATTTCTATTTCCTTGATGAAATATTTTGAAATGAGTATTGAAACTGTTGTCAACACAAATCAAAATGTTACTATCAAAAGGATGGATAATCATCTACGTCACAGCCCGTTGTGTCCACCACTCACTATTGTTTTGTTTCTAGCTTCTGCTGCCAAAAACGTCTTTTGAGATAAGTCAAACATAAAAAATATATTCATTTTCGCATCACTTGAAGATCTCTTTATGATATTGTATTGTTGTTTCTTTATTGTATTAGTTTTGTTATCTTAGTTTTATTCAGCTTGTTTTCATGAACAGTTATAACTTCTGAAACTTGAAATACCATGACTTGTTGTAATCTCTTATTATAATAAAACTTTCTATAAATTGAAATTATGATATGGCCACTTTGGCAGCCATTTTGAAAAAAGTAAACTTATACCAATTAGTTGATTTCTCAAAGGATGGTTTTTTTCTCAAGTCATTTGAATATTGTTAAAATTCATTTTCTTACAAAGTTAATTTTCCATAAAGTGAGCAATGGCGCCAGTATTTAGATTTATATTTTGATAGTCTCAACATCGTTCATACATATTGATGTATCACACTAGTCAGGTTTTGATCAATCTCAGAATTAGATACATCAAAATGTCAAAAGAGATATTATCGAAGTGTTATTTAGTTTATATGAGTATTTGACGTAACATGCCATCCGTTTGATATTGTTTTCACTTACACATACAGGGTGGGGTGGGGTGGGGGGGTGTTATATACATGTATTCAGTAGAAGGTTGTGCAACAGCAGTTACTTTCACCACAGGTATGCTGAGGTAGGTGTTTGGTATATTTCTTTGCTGAGGTTGGCGTCCAGGTTTTTAATTTGACTGCAAGCCATGATTTTATAGTTGCAACTAAACAAACATTATGGACGCTAGGTATTATTTTGCATTGACTTCCTCAAAATTGCCCCTGTGTGGCGTATTAGTACGTCATGAGAAGGTCCAAGGTGAAGGTCACAAGATTGATATTTTGAAAAGATTGCTGTTGAATTTCTCAGCACTTGCTGTACATGGTATATAGTTTGAATGTAGTGTGTTGTTTTATTAACTGCTCTTCAGCTATTGATATTGTTTTGTTAAGTTTGAAGCACATAGTATGTGAAGACCTTCAGAGATCCAGGTGAAATGCCAGTGAAAAAGCTGCTTCTGGTGTTGTAAGTACTTGCCAAGAGGTAGTTTTATTCAATTATACTAAAAAAAATAGACTCTTCCCGCCATTTCATAAACATTGTAAACTATGGTTAATTTCATTGTCTTGGCTTCAGTTGCAAAGCAGTGAATGGAAATGTACAGTTGTGTGTATTTCCTAAATGACATGTTTTTTTTCCGAGTGAATGTTTTCTCCTGGTGTTGAAAAGAATCTCAAGAAGTTTTCCCTCAGCTGTGAGCATATTAACCATTACAGTAAATCAAGTAGCAGACAAATCATTTATGACAAGGAGGGTGGCAAAGAGATTGGTCTTAGGACTGTAACACGGACCTAAGAGAGCCAAAAAATATTTTTCCCAAAGGTTGATTTTCGTTGGTTGTTTTTTTCTAGTGGTACTTTATGAGTTGCTTCTTGGTCATTTCTCACTAAAATGTTCTTTTTATACTAAATGCTTGGGTAGACACTTTCTATTGGACTAGTACTAGTGTATATTTTCGATAAATTTTCCTCCATAATAGGGTGGTGGGGTAGCCTAGTGGTTAAAGCGTTCGCTCTTCACGCCGAAAATCCGAGTTCGATTCCCCATGTGGGCACAATGGGTGAAGCCCATTTCTGGTGTCCCCCGCTCCGTAATAATGCTGGAATATTGCTCAAAGCGGCGCAAATATAAACTCACTCACTCGCTCCTCCATAATGCAATAAGGATGTACATGCAGGTCCTCTGTGTGTTTTGACGTACAACATAGTATATATATTGAAAAAATATCATTAGTAGTGGTATAATATTGAAAAAATATCATTAGTAGTGGTATTGGTTCATAATGTAAGATTTGTGTTGCATAGTTTCTTAGTTGTAGGCCAGAATACCTCAGGAATTTAGAATGCAAATATCTCTATGCGTTAGAAACATGACATGGAGAGAAATAGGAAGGAACTGACATGTTTGGTCCATAAGACAAATTGTCCATATTTCCATGGTGGCCATTTGTCAAAGGGAGACAACTTTTGGATAAAGGCTTCTTGAACGCATATAAGAATGTGCTGTTAGCCAGTATTGTCTATCTGGAGAGCTGAAAACTTATTTTTGTAAAATATGGTTTTGATATGATTATGTGGATAAAGTATGTTCTTTTTATGACTTTGAAAGATGTGTATGTAGCTTTTCAATTGAACAAAAGTGCTATTCTTTATATATTTTTGTATAACAATTGTGCACCTATAGTTGGCAGTTAGTCTTAAATAATTTATATTTTTTGTGAATATCTGTTTTTTGATGGTTAAAGGTATCTTATTACTTATAGTTGATATTATTATTTCATGCAGCAAATGCTTCAGTGAATCCCGAATAGCATCTGCCTTTTTTGTCGGAACCCCATCAGAATTCCCAGTACTACTTAATGCAACTCTCATAAGCATTGAAAAAAAGGTGTGATTTAATCCTCCATATTGAAAAATATAGAAAATTATTGAAAAATTATTTTGAAATACTTTATTATTATTTTTGTAATATTTTATTTGCATCCCATGTGCTATGCTGCTGAGTCCCAGGAACCCTCAGTGTCAATTTTTTTCATTAATTTTTCATTGCAAATCTATTGTCTTGTCGTCTGATGTTTTGATGCAAAATTGACAAGTACTGATGCAGCCTGAGGTATTTCAGACTAACAAACATTTTTTTCACATGGCATTATTTGTGTGGAAATATTAATGTGCTTTTTTCAAATGCACAACTTTGAGTTTAAACATATATAGTTAGCTGTTTAGCATTGTTACATTTACAGTTGTTATAAACAAGTGGATGTATCCAATGGTCTTACAATTTTATATTTAGGCCAGACCAATTTAATTCTTGTTTCACGGATCCGCCTGTCGTATTTTTCAAGAAAAAATATAAATTAATTTTCCCCGCTCAAAAAAATAGAATCCTAATGTTTTTATTGGCCCAAAATGTAAACATACAAGAAATTTAGTTTTTAGATTGTTTTTTGCCCCACATACTTTGAGTATTTAGAAGGAATATTACTTTGACTGGTGATTTTATTTTTATTTATTTTTTCCCTCATGCCTTTAGGTTTTCTGAGGGAAAAAATCTGTAAAACAAGAAATAAAATTGGTCTGGCCTTTAATGACAGAAAATAACTCTGCTGTAATGATGTCAAAAGAAGTCAAAGGACACCCTATGTTTATTATTTGTTGTCAGAGAACTATAGTTGATCATGTTACTGTGACTGCTATTGTCTGCTATCCATTGTGCTGGTGTAAGTTGTACGAAAATTAGATATTGCTGTGATATTGCGAGAATATTGCTAAAAAGTGGTGTAAAACCAACTTACTCGTTCACTTCAGCTCACATGCAATGATACAAATGGAATGATGAATGGTTAAAATATCCAGCTCATTCACTCTTATCCAAAAGGGACCACATTAATACCATAGTGGCAGTCTCAGCAAATTTTATAAAGTGCTTCAAAACTGTCTTTGCCAGCATTTTACCTATTGATGTCAACTGAACAATTAATTATTAAACTACCAACATGGTCACAGTGTCTCAGTTTGGCACAAGTCACTCATGATAACTGCGAGACCTGGATTGATTATTTACCCAACCCAATGAACAAACCATGCTCCTTGTGACGTTTCTTTGAATAAGGGGCGGTGGGGTAGCCTAGTGGTTAAAGCGTTGGCTCGTCACGCCGAAGACCTGGGTTCGAATCCCCACATGGGTAGAATGTGTGAAGCCCATTTCTGGTGTCCCCAGCCGTGCTGTTGCTGGAATATTGCTAAAAGCGGCGTAAAACCAAACTCAGTCAGGCCAGTCTTTGAATGAATGTAGCAAAGAGTTGTCTTTCTTACCTCCCTTGATTAGGTAGTAATAAGAGAGCTGGGTCCCAATCCACAGAATGTTTGTAGTACTATGACATTCGTAAGCCTATGATAAACTATAGAGTTACGACAGGTCGTAACATTACGAATGCTTTGTGGATCTGGACCCTGATTTAATATGTTGGTGCCATTTTCATGAATAGTTCCTGGATAATGCTAATAGAATGCAGATTTATTACATCGGGTAAGTCAGAGCCTTATCTTGAAAGTGATAAAAGCACAAGAAAACCATCTCCCTCGTGAATGCAACAAAGATTCATAAAAGAAACATTGTACTTTATTAGTTTTGTATTCTTTGTTGAATGCATCCTTAGTGAACATGAAGAGTGTCTTAGGTTTTATACAGTGTTCATAGTATTCTTTAGAACTGGTTGTGATATGACAGAATTTATGGATTAGTTGTAGTTTTGATACAGTAATTATATATGTTAAAAATCTGTTTGAATATGGTTAATGTTCAAAAGACATTTTAGAAAATAATATTGTTTTGTGAGAGGGAAAGTCATGCTAGTTTAATTGTTTCAGTTGTTTCCCCCGAAAAATAAATCCCCAAAATTCGAAAGAATACTGAGCCAAAATGGGCCCTTTTTGTACCACTTTACTTTGATATCTTTTTCAACTTTTTGTTTGTTTATTAGTTTTATTTACTTTCATATGCATATTCTGTTTATTTGAAATTTATGAAACATGAATAAATACCCACCAAGTCCTGGAGGACTGTACAACACAATAAAGGATGACTAAAAATCAAAAGTGCAACAGTGAAGTGTGAAATGCAGATTGGCCTCGGAAATTTTTTAACATTTTTTTTAATGAGCTAAAGATCTAAAAGGCCAGTGTGGCAGCAGTCTGCTTGTTAAAGTGTTATATAGTTGTATATTTTTGTATGTTATATATTTGTATGTATATGTACGTCAATATTCCTATTTATTGGTGGCTTGTTTCATGTCTATTTTGTCTGAGCTAATGTTGTATTTATATTGTTTCGTTTTGTATGCTATCTTTTATGTGATAGCTTGGTTATTTGTTTTTTGAATATCTATTTCGAAGATCATGACATTTAAGATCAATTTAATAAAATATCCCTGTATGCAAATTTACTTCCTGCTTGAAAATTCTTAAAGCCTTCACAGTATAAGTCTCTTGTTTTCTAAGCCTGAACAGTTATATCTTAAAGTTCAATATATTTTACACTGGTAAATGTCTTGAAAATATTCTCATATTTGTATGCCTACAATAGCCTTAGTCAAAACAGCAACTCATATAAATCAATATATACATGTACATGATATATAAGATATTTTATTTGTCACATGATCACTGATGTCCTGCGATTGGTCACATTTTGTGACCAGTTGTGTATGTTTCCATGACTCAATGTGATATACAAAGATATTTTTATGTATACATTAGTTTCTCAGTTGTCTCCCTTGTTGAAATCTGTTGTATAAATGCTTGTTCTGGGCTGGTGTGCATAGGTGGTCTAGTACCGCACAGGGTAAAGGACTCACTTATTAATGGCTGCAGTTGTTGTTGGTTGTACAGTACATACATGTGCAGCATTGTTCCTGTCTAAAGGTTGTTAACAGAAGTATCAATAAAGAGGCAAGGTTGTAACTGTGATCATTGTGTGATATGTGAATACTGGCTGACTTGTGGTCAACAGTTTAAAATGTCTTAAAGATGTAGTAAAAGTCTGAATTTATGTTCAGATATTTCCTGTATTTGTCGGGACGGTGGGCTAGCCTAGTGGTTAAAGCGTTTGCTCATCATGCCGAAGACCTGGGTTTGATTCCCCACGTGTACAATGCGTGAAGCCTATTTCTGGTGTCTCATGCCATGATATTGCTGGAATGTTGCTAAAAGCGGCATTAAACCATACCCACTGGCTCTTCTAATATTCGATAAATTCTCCTGTATTTGTACTGAAGTATTAGAGTAATACTTTATTATCCCCTGCAACACGTTTAAAATGGACTCAGTGCGTTCGTGCAAATTAGTCTTTTCCGGAGCAGAACATAAAAACTGTTCAATATTTCTCCACGAAACTTGCCACATAGATAGGTCTGGTGGTGAACTGGTGCCTTTTGGTAGTTTTGGATTCCTGAATAAAATAGTTTTTGTGTTTCCATGGCAACAAGTTTGACTTCCAACTGAAATTTGTGGTGGTCTTTTCCTCCGGAGAACATTAAAACCGTTCAATGTTTTTTCACTAAATTTGGCACATAGATAGGTCTGGTGGTGAACTGGTGACTTTTGATAGTTTGGGATTTCTGAATATAATAATGTTTGCATTTCCATAGCAACAATTTTTACTTTGACTGAAATTGGTGGTAGGGCTCCTTTCCAGTGCAGAACTATAAAACCTTTTAATACTCTAATTCTCAGCAATATTCCAGCTATATGGCGGTGGTCTGTAAATAATTGAGTCCGGACCAGACAATCCAGTGATCAACAGCATGAGCATCGATCTAACAATCAGAATATGCCTATTATGAACATGGGTTGCTGAAGACCAAATCTGAACCCGCTGTTTATGGATCTGAGACTCTGTTACGTCCTGAACTCAACAGGTTACAGCAGGAATGTAACTTTGATAATCAACATTCACTCTTCCTGGTTACATATAGTTTATAGAGTGTGTGCCCAGAGACCTGAAGGTGGTTCCTTCTCCTGCATTTGTCACACCAAGAATGTATTTCTTGTTCATGTGTCTGAGTTTGTATCTTTGTTTAATGGCTGCATGGTTTCTCAGTGGCACATTTCTGGACTAGTACAAGTCGGCAAGCATACACCTGCATGAGTAACGCCATGTAAGTGCAATGACCTTCTTGATCCTGAAAGTTAGTGACCACCGCCATATTGCTGGAATATTGCTGAGTCCGGCGTATAACTAAACTCACTCACTATGATGCTGAAGGACTTGGTGTCATCCCACTGATGACATCCTTACCTTGTCAATTTGCGGTTAAACTCTTCAATCATGTGGACAAGGTGTCTGACTTTGAATCCTGGTATGAGACTTATGGCACTCCCAGTCACATACAAGCCCCATTTCACCTCCCCCTGAGACTGAATAGGTTCAATTTGCTTTATGGTTGTTGTGTGTTTCGGTATACACAAGATGCAAGTTAATTAAGGAAGAGGTGTCCAATTAAACGCTTGCCTACAATTCTTAATTGCTGCTTTAAACAGTGTGTTTTGTTTGTTTGTTGTTTAATGCTACACTCGACAATACTCCAGGTATGTGGCAGCAATCTGTATATAATCGAGTCGGACCGCCTCCGTGGTGTAGTGGTTTGAGCGTCCGCCCGGAGAGCGGAAGGTCGCCGGTTTGATCCCCGACCGCGTCATACCAAAGAGACGTTAAAATATGGTACTTGTTGGTCCCTGCCTGGCGCTCGGCATTAATGGGTACAACAAGGACTGGTCGGCTCGAGTCAGTATAATGTGTCTGAGTGGGGTATTCATGCTTTACTGCGGCATGGTATCTCAGTGGGCTAGCACTATAAAACCAGCTTCAGTCTGGGCTAGTACAAGCAGCTGCACCTACAAATACACACGCATGCACGTCGTCATATGAGCGAAATATTCTCCAGTGCGACGTTAAACCCAATTTCACCTCACCTATAATCGAGTCTGGACCAGACAATCTAGTGATGAGCAGTATGAACATCAATGACATGTCAACCAAGTCAGCAAGCCTGATAACCCAATCCTGTTAGTCATGCGTCAATTGCTGAAGACCAATTCTAACTCAGTATTCGCAGGTCTTTAAACAGTGGCCAAAGATGTTTTGATAGGCTGATATGTGACACTTGGGCATCCCAGAGATAGTTTTGATGTCAGTTTGTTTTAAACCTGTTCGCTACAAACGTGGAGTACAGCAGTTACAATCATCACAAGCAGTCTCCCCTGTATTCAATAACACATTCATCTCTCATCACAACCAACCTCCCCTATATTCAATAACACATTCATCTCTCATCACAACCAATCTCCCCTATATTCAATAACACATTCATCTCTCATCACAAAATCCTCCCTATATTCAATAACACATTCATCTCTCATCACTCCCCTATATTCAATAACACATTCATCTCTCATCACAAGCAATCTCCCCTATATTCAATAACACATTCATCTCTCATCACAAGCAATCTCCCCTATATTCAATAACACATTCATCTCATCTCATCTCATCACAAGCAATCTCTCCTATATTCAATAACAATAACACATTCATCTCTCATCACAAGCAACCTCCCCTATATTCAATAACACATTCATCTCTCATCACAAGCAACCTCCCCTATATTCAATAACACATTCATCTCTCATCACAACCAACCTCCCCTATATTCAATAACACATTCATCTCTCATCACAACCAATCTCCCCTGAATTCAATAACACATTCATCTCTCATCACAAGCAATCTCCCCTATATTCAATAACACATTCATCTCTCATCACAAGCAACCTCCCCTATATTCAATAACACATTCATCTCTCATCACAACCAATCTCCCCTGTATTCAATAACACATTCATCTCTCATCACAGCCAATCTCCCCTGTATTCAATAACACATTCATCTCTCATCACAAGCTATCTCCCCTGTATTCAATGACACATTCATCTCTCATCACAGCTAATCTTCCCTGTATTCAATAACACATTCATCTCTCATCACAGCCAATCTCCCCTGTATTCAATAACACATTCATCTCTCATCACAGCCAGTTTTGCCTGTATTCAATAACACATCCATGTCTCATCACAGCCAATCTCCCCTGTATTCAATAACACATTCATCTCTCATCACAACCAATCTCCCCTGTATTCAATAACACATTCATCTCTCATCACAACCAATCTCCCCTGTATTCAATAACACATTCATCTCTCATCACTGCTTTAGCGTAAAACAATATTCACTCAGTCAAATTGGTTACAGCCTCGAAGGTAAAGCTTTGTTTCTCTGCAGTAACCTGCAATCCAAGATTATCATCAATCTATTTCAGCTGCATAACACAAGTCATAGGAGCTCCTCGTTTATTGATTTTACACAGGTGATACTTACAATGATATGTGGAAAATAAAAACATAGAATTATTTGAAACACATCCCTGAAAATATATGATAAAATACAATTCCAACCACAAACATACTATATATACACAATTTTAAGCAAAAGTTTTACAAAAATATTCATCTCAAAAGAAGATATTGGAAAAAATATGAAACAGTTACATGACTGAATAACTTGAAGATGTCGATAACCCTTACGCAAGATTTTTCTCAGTGAGACTGGACAGTTAAATTGAAAATAGATCCAAAAGTGATTGTCAAACTTGTTTTTGTTAGTATACCTATGAACATGACTATAAATCTATATCTATATATATATATATATATTACAACTGGACATACAAACATCACTTAACGAATTGATCATACGAAGTTGATTTATTTGCCCTACGGTGATCTACCAGACATGACTGAATCACAATACCAAACATCACTTGTTTATAATTTTGTAATTGTCACAAAAAGGACATGTATATACATAATAAAGTCCAAAATATTCTGAGTTTGGAAGAATAAATAATCAAATCTGGTTGGTATTTAACTGTTGAACAGGAGTCGGAATGCAGGTGCAGGTGCACTTCCTGTCGACACATATTTGACGTAGGCTGTTGTTCCAGAAGCTGTAAGAGTTGCCGGGACAGTCTGCAGGAAAGAAACATATGTTGTTCAGATTCAAGGATTATATATTAACATGATGAAAAGATAAACCTTGGTAAAAAATAATACTTAATTCTGATTGGTTAATAACAGAGGTTTCAAATCACAATTGCCATCTGTAATGGCAACAGCTGAAAAATGTAGTCGCTTTGAATAAAAAGATAAACCATCTACTATGAGTTTAAAAAAATACTTAATGCTGATTGGTTGATAGCAGAGGTATCAAATTACAATTACCACCTCTGATGGATTAAGCTGATTATTAATGTTCGGTTACTTACATTGCAGTATCTGCCAAAGATTTGATTTCCATCACTATCACCATCATACACAGCTACATAATTGTCTGTACAGCGGGCTTCTCCTTGGACACTCAAGGTCGCAAAGGTTAAGGTTAGAGTTCGCCTTGCAGGAACTCGTATAAGCCAGCGACAAGTCTGAACGTCGGAGAAGTTGCCAGGGAATTGTGGACTGGTGAGACTGCCATTGATTCCAGTCAAGTTGCCTCCACATCCCAAACCTGTAGACACATCAAGAGAAAATATCATTGTTTGCAGTTTCAGTATTAACAAACAAAATTGGACTACCATCTCACGACAGAGTCCAAAGGAAATCAAGGATACAATTATATATATTTTATTGTAAGATTCCTATGGGATATTTTGTTAACTACACTGTACAAAACAATATTTTGAAGGAAATGCTTCCTAAGTTAAGGGGGCGGTGGGGTAGCCTAGTGGTTAAAGCGTTTGTTCGTCACGGCCGAAGACCCGGGTTGGATTCCCCACATTGGTACAACGTGTGAAGCCCATTTCTGGTGTCCCCCGCCATGATATTGCTGGAATATTGCTAAAAAGCGGCGTAAAACCATACTCACTCACTCACTCCTAAGTTAAGGGGTCTCATGTGCTGAGGTATCTCATGATCCAGTGTATGGCACACAGGTTACAAAGAAGACAAAATTTAGCAGCATTGGAGAGTAGATAGGTCAACATGTTCTGCAGTTTGCCTCCTGAGTCAGTCAGTGAGTTTTATGCCACTTTTAGCAATATTCCATCAATATCACCACATGGGACACCAGAAATGGGCTTCACACATTGTACCCATCCCATGTGGAGAATCGAACCTGGGCCTTTGGCATGACGAGCGAGCACTTTAACCACTAGGCTACCCTACCACCCAAAGTTTGTGTAGAAGCATAAATAGTTCCTGTAATGTTATTGTACTGCTTTGAGGGAATTGAACCCAGATCTTCGGCGTGACGAGCAAACACTTTAACCACTAGGCTACCCCACCACCCCTTTGGATCCTAAGGTTTTCTAGGACTTCAGTCCTGTCCCATTCAGAGTTACATGCCACTTTGGTGTTTGCTTCAGCAAGTATGCCATTTTCGCCCAGCAGTTGGTACTCGGGATGAACATATGGGTGAGAATTGCTCTTGAGCAATCCATGCTTGGCTGGTCAGACTCACAGACTTGGCTGACACATGTGAATGTATCCTAATTGCCAAGATCAGTGTTCATGATGTCAGTCACTGGACTGTCTGGTCCAGACTCCACTATTTACCGACTGTTGTCATAAAGCTGGAATATTGCAGTGCACCCCATATTATGAAAAAAGTAAGAACAAACAAACAATACTTAGGATGATGAGATGGTGTGACTGTTAACGTTGGTTGTTTAACGCAGCACTCAGCAATATTCCAGCTATATGTGGTGGTCCATAAATAATTGAGTCTGGACAACACAATCCAGTGATCATCACATCATGAGCATCGATCTACGCAACTGGGATACAATGACATGTGTCAACCAAGTCAGCAAGCCTGATCACCCGATCCCGTTAACATTCTAGTACCTCACATCACAAAAAGTCAGAGCAGCTTGCAGCTAATTGAGTGTTTGGTACCATACATGTTTTTGATATTTAGGGTTATTCTTAGATTTTCAAAAGCATCACCAATAATGCATCAGTGTCCAGGAAACATCCAGTTTACTGCTTCATTTCATGAACTTCATAAACTGTGGATTGAAAATAAAATGGCAACCATAGTGCTACAACTGTCTTAAGTCCATTTTCAGGTATTGCAGTTACGTTCACCTTAGTGCTAAGGTCGCCTTTGTGGAAAGGGCCCAGGGCCCCGTTTCACAAAGTGATCGTAGCATTAAGGTGATCGTAACTTCCATACTTTAACATAGACTTACAACAGTCGTAACACTACGATCGCTTTGTGAAACGGGCCCCTGGGTGCCATTATACAAATCAATCTTTCAGCACTAAGGTGGCTTTTAACTCCCATACCTTGACAAAGACTTAAGGTAGTCTTAGCGATAAGGTGACCATAACACCCATACCTTAACATAGACTTAAGGTAGTCTTAGCGCTAAGGTGACCGTAACTCCCATACCTTAACATAGACTTATGGTAGTCTTAGTGCTAAGGTGACCATAACTCCCATACCTTGACATAGACTTAAGGTAGTCTTAGCGCTAAGGTGACCATAACTCCCATACCTTGACATAGACTTAAGGTAGTCTTAGTGCTAAGGTGACCATAACTCCCATACCTTAACATAGACTTAAGGTAGTCTTAGCGCTAAGGTGACCATAACACCCATACCTTGACATAGACTTAAGGTAGTCTTAGCGCTAAGGTGACCATAACTCCCATACCTTGACATAGACTTAAGGTAGTCTTAGCGCTAAGGTGACCATAACACCCATACCTTGACATAGACTTAAGGTAGTCTTAGCGCTAAGGTGACCATAACACCCATACCTTGACATAGACTTAAGGTAGTCTTAGCGCTAAGGTGACCATAACACCCATACCTTGACATAGACTTAAGGTAGTCTTAGCTAAGGTGACCATAACACCCATACCTTGACATAGACTTAAGGTAGTCTTAGCGCTAAGGTGACCATAACTCCCATACCTTGACATAGACTTAAGGTAGTCTTAGCTAAAGGTGACCATAACTCCCATACCTTGACATAGACTTATGGTAGTCTTTGTGCTAAGGTGACCATAACTCCCATACCTTGACATAGACTTAAGGTAGTCTTAGCGCTAAGGTGACCATAACTCCCATACCTTGACATAGACTTAAGGTAGTCTTAGTGCTATGGTGACCATAACTCCCATACCTTGACATAGACTTAAGGTAGTCTTAGTGCTAAGGTGACCATAACACCCATACCTTGACATAGACTTAAGGTAGTCTTAGCGCTAAGGTGACCATAACTCCCATACCTTGACATAGACTTAAGATAGTCTTAGCGATAAGGTGACCATAACTCCCATACCTTGACATAGACTTAAGGTAGTCTTAGCGCTAAGGTTGTTTTGTACAACAGCACCCCTGTATGGGTACTGAGTATCTGACCCTTACCTTCTGTAGTGGATGTATATGAAATGTCATATCCGGGATGGTTGACAGAGAAATCGGTTTTGAAGTTCATGTATGCCTGGTTTCCGTTGATGAAGATGGGATCAGGGGTGACCTGGCCACACAGCTTGGACACTCGGGGGTCACTGAGACTTGTTCCGTTGTGGATCTGTTGTTAAACATGGCAGTTTCACTACATTACTATCAAGCTGGGTAATTAAGAATTCAATTTTCTAAATTTGACTCATTTCTAACATGACGACTGAGGGAATTTACTGTTTTGATACCATTCATGCAAATGTTTTTTTCAGGTGAGCTATTGCCTAGCCTTTAGGACCATTTATAATTTATGGCTGGGGATGGGGTGTGTGTGATGATGATTTTAAGTGGGGTCGCCAATTTTTTTCTTGGGAGGTCATCAATTTTGTACACATGTACTAGGGGTGTCGTCATTGACTTTATACATGACATGCAGGGGGGTCACTTACTTTGTACATAAATTTTAGGGGGTCATTCATATTGAAGGAAAACCAAGTTCTATGGATAGTCAACTTCTTTATTGCAATGAGTGTGACGTTATCATCACTTGCTTGATAATGGTGTTAGTACCTACACCAAAACGCCACTTGCTTGATAACGATTTTAGTACCTACACCGAAACATCACTTGCTTGATAACGGTGTTAGTACCCACACCGAAACATCACTTGCTTGATAACGGTGTTAGTACCCACACCGAAACGACACTTGCTTGATAACGGTGTTAGTACCCACACAAAACGAAACGATAACGCATTTTAGTACCTTTGATTGATAACGGTGTTAGTACCCACACCGAAACGACACTTGCTTGATAACGGTGTTAGTACCCACACCGAAACGACACTTGCTTGATAACGGTGTTAGTACCTACACCGAAACATCACTTGCTTGATAACGGTGTTAGTACCTACACCGAAACGACACTTGCTTGATAACGGTGTTAGTACCTACACCGAAACATCACTTGCTTGATAACGGTGTTAGTACCTACACCGAAACATCACTTGCTTGATAACGGTGTGTCAGTACCTACACCGAAACGGTGTTAGTCACTTGCTTGATAACGGTGTTAGTACCTACACCGAAACATCACTTGCTTGATAACGGTGTCAGTACCTACACCGAAACGTCATACTCATTGCAATAAAGAAGTTCAATATCCATAGAACTTGGTTTTCCTTCATCTATACAACTTCTAAAATGCCTCTCAAAGAAATCATTCATATTGTAAATTGTTCTCCATAAAAATTATCATCACCCCCCCTTAGCTATATATTATGAACAGTCCCTTACAAGTGTTTATGTCCAGTGCCACTGGTGCCGTGGGCTGGCATATGCTCATTTCTTTCCCCACCCACCCCCACTCCTGATATCATCACTATTTAAAACTGATTTATGACATAGGCACATGGTAAAGCTGAAAGTGTACAACTGATTTCAGTCATGACACTCCGAGATTCCTCATGGATGTGGAAATTATTTGTTGCTTATATTTACCTCCAGGTAGTCAAATCGACAACTTGTGTGGAACTCGATGTTCATGGATGTGAAGTAGAGAGCTATTGTTGTCCCTGGTGGGGTGGTGAGTTGTATATCACAGTTGACGTTACGAGGATAGTTCCCTGGCCACCCGGGGCTGACGATACGGCCACTGGACCCTGTCACGTTCCTGTCACATGCTGCAAGGCAAACATAATCCAGATATGGTTTCATTATTGATGGTATTGTGAGTGAAGGAGTGAGTGAGTTGAGTTTGATGTTGCATGTGTACAGTGTTCTAACTATAAATTCTTCTCACAGACAATCTCCCTGAATGTAATGACACTTCTCCTCATAAGTAATTTCCACTGTATTCAATCATATGGGTATTTCTTATCTCAAGCAATCTCTGTATTCAATAACACATATCCATCTCATCACTGGCAATCTCCCCTGTGTTCAATAACATATTCAGATCTAATCACTGGCAATCTCCATGTGTTCAATAACATATTCAGATCTAATCACTGGCAATCTCCACTGTGTTCAATAACATATTCAGATCTAATCACTGGCAATCTCCATGTGTTCAATAACAGATTCAGATCTAATCACTGGCAATCTCCCCTGTGTTCAATAGCACATTGATATCTGGCACAGGCAATTTTCCCTGTTTTCAAAAGCACAGTTATCTATCATCACAAGCAATCTCCCCTGTATTAAATAACACATTTACTTACCAAGGGCAATCTCCCCTGTATGCAATGGCACATTTATTTCTCTCACAGGACACCTCCTCTGTACAATGAAACCTTAATCTCTACTTATAGCCAATATTCCCTGTATTCAATAACACATTAATCTCTACTTACAGGCAATCTCCCCTGTATTCAAAGACACATTAATCTCTACTTACAGGCAATCTCCCCTGTATTCAATGACACATTAATCTCTACTTACAGGCAATCTCCCCTGTATTCAATAACACATATATTTCTGCTCACAGGCAATGTCTCCTATATTCAATGACACATTTATTTCTCCTCACATGCAACCTCCTCTGTACAATGACACATTAATCTCTACTTACAGGCAATTTCCCCTGTATTCAATGACACATTAATCTCTACTTACAGGCAATCTCCCCTGTATTCAATAACATATTAATCTCTACTTACAGGCAATCTCCCCTGTATTCAATGATACATTAATCTCTACTTACAGGCAATCTCCCCTGTATTCAATAACACATATATTTCTGCTCACAGGCAATGTCTCCTATATTCAATTGCACATTTATTGCTCCTCACAGGCAACCTCCTCTGTACAATGACAGGTAATCTCTACTTACAGGCAATCTCCCCTGTATTCATTAATCTCTACTTACAGGCAATCTCCCCTGTATTCATTAATCTCTACTTACAGGCAATCTGATAGGTCAAACTGAATCCACCACTGCTTGATCCATCAGGCACAACATAGTTGACCTGCATGACCTGGCCAGCTGAGTCAAATATCCCAGGGACAGCTGATCCACAATAATGAAGATTTCTACCACTTGGGGCCTACAAACCAGATTTAGAGAAGAACCTTTATATCCATGAGTAAATGCATGTTAGTTTGTAAAAAGTATTATTTATAAATGTGTTTTGGGTAATGGTGACACCATTTCATGTGAAGAAACAGAGAAAATGTGAAAGTCAAGTATCTGTTGCATTGAATAACTATAAAATGTACCACTCGAAACAAGTTAAGGATCACCTGATTTTTTCCATATTACTATGGCTGTTTAGCAGTATGAAAGAATTTGATGGTCCTTAACTTCTCTTGAATTGTATATGTCATTACATATTTCTATATATATGTAGTGAGTGAGTGAGTTGGGTTTTACTCTGCTTTTAGCAATATTCCAGCAAATTCATGGCAGGGCACACAAGAATTGGGCTTCACACATTGTGCACATGGAGGGAATTGAACCCAGGCCTTGGGCGTGACAAGCGAAACGCTTTAACCGCTAGGACAACCAAGTTCTATGTATAGACAGGGGCGGTGGGGTAGCCTAGTGGTTAAAGCGTTGGCTCGTCATGCCAAAGACCCGGGTTCGAATCCCTACATGGGTACAATGTGTGAAGCCCATTTCTGGTGTCCCCCGCCGTGATGTTGCTGGAATATTGCTTAAAGCGGCGTAAAACCAAACTCAGTCAGTCAGTCAGTCTATGGATAGACAACTTCTTCATTGCAATGGGTGCGATGTTTCGGTGTAGGTACTAACACCATTATCAAGCACTTGCTTGAGGATTACATAAACCTTTGTGAAATTATTGTTGATGGCTTATTTATTAATAAAATATAATATTGTAAAATGTGGATTTCCACAACATGCATTTATACCAAAACGCTACTGAAATCTGTTTGTAAATATACAGGAGGTGCATAATAGTTTCATAGGAATGGTAAAAGTTGTTGAGTAAATCTGAAACATATACTTTTACGGATAACAACTTCTGAGTATTGCATAAGGATCATTTTGATACAGATTCTTAAACCTAAATTCTCAAGGTGGATTTGATGAATAGCTTGATAATGGTGTAAGAATCTACAAACAAAAGTGACAGAAGGCAGAAGGCGTTATTCATATGTATCCTTAAGAAGTGCATAATTTGTTCTCACCAAGGGGACATCTCTGAACTCAATATATTCTTGGGAACAGCTTGAGTCCTGTACTAGGCTGAGAGCATTGAGCTGAAGTTGCACTTGGGAGAATCTGGACATGGAGTCGATGACCCAGCGGCATCGGACTGCCTGGCCGGCAGCATTTGGATAGTTGGGCGACATGATAGTCTGGGGCGTGTTGGTAGCTGTCAAGGTACCACCACACAGTGCTACAAGAGAGGGAATTTCAATCATGATTCCGAGTGTGACTCTCCACAAAAACAATTTTGTCCAAAGTAGTTCTTTGTAATCTGACCTTAGGTCAGGGTAGGGTGGTGGGGAAGGTTGTTTGGATGGTTTGTTGTTTAAAGACACGCTAAGCAATATTCCAGCTATATGGCGGCAGTCTGTAAATAATCACGTCTGGACCAGACAATCCAGTGATCAACATCATGAGCATTGATCTACACATTTGGGATATGATGGCATGTGTCAACCAAGTCAGTGAGCTTGACCACCTGATCCCGTTAGTTGCCTCTTACGACTGGCATGGGTTACTGATAATCCATTCTCACCCGGATCTTCACGGTTATGTGGGGAAGAGGTGGATGGTTTGTATGAAAGAAACATAGGCTAACCATCTTGTTGTCCGTAGGTGGCAGTGAAACCTGATCTTGTTACTGAACTGTCTGAAGTGAACACAACATAGAGGGCGTTGGACAGGCCTCTAATGATTGGAGGCGGAGTGCTTCCACAGTAAGTTCCTATCAGCGTATCTTGCATGCTGAGGCCATCATATACCTAGTGGAAAGAATCATCATCATCATCATCATCACCACCAACAACAACAACTACATCACCACCATCACCATCATCATCATCACTGTCATCATCATCATCATCATCATCATCTTCATCGTCATCATCATCACCACCATCATCACCAACAACAACTACATAACCACCACCACCATCATCATCATCACTGTCATCATCATCATCATCATTGTCATCATCGTCATGGTCAGCACCAGCACCAGCACCAGCACCACAAACAACAACATCATCATAATTCGTAGCTCTGTACATTATTCATCAACTATTATATCTGAATTACTGTCCCATTTCTCATAAATCTGTTAGAAGTTCACAACAGGACATGAATGACTTATTACCGCATAAAGTGTGATGAACAGAAAATACCTTGATCAGTTATCACCTTTCTATTCAAACAACTTATTTTTAATATATGGCTATGGATCCACCAGACCAATACATCAGACAACAGAATTAGGCTAAAAACTTTCTTTCCCCTTTAACAAAATCTTTTCCTCAGCTGTGAAAAATGACGGGAGCATGCACATTTGATTCCTGAACTTCGGTAATAATATAAACAATACTTCAAGTTCTCGGACCCAAACACTGCAGGCTAGAGCTGGCTGAAAGATCCATAATCGGAAATATCGTCGATAGGAAAAATGATTAAAGATTATCAATATGAAAATAGTGTCATCGATAATATGGATGTAAACTTTGGCGATAGAATAAACTGTTAATTTACTTATAAAATACACAAAGTTAGGTTTTCAATCATGGGCTTCTTCTACATTATGTTCAGGACGCTGTTTTGTTAGTAAGCCATGCATATACATGTCACCACTCACCAGTGGGCTGAAATATACTCATGGAAACAAATAAGGGGACACATGAAAGTACAAGTGTTCCTTTATTTATTTCCAGAATTTCACACACAGTGTAATAAACACCTTATGCAGAAACCTGGAAAAATAATAAAGGAACACTTATACTTTCATGTGTCCCCTTATTTGTTTCCATGAGTATATTATTATTTCTTTTAGACGTTTTGGGGTATTTTGCTTGGAGTTACTTCTCTGATATTTATCGACAATTGGTCAATATTTAGTTAACAATTATCGATCTCAGGGTCATGAAGTCATACCCAATTTCCAACTCTCTTCCAAAGGAAATCAGGAACACTTCATCAAAAGAAATGTTTAAATTTCTGCTAAAACCCATCTGTTCACTGCTGCCTTTCTGTAAAACCCATATGATCTACTTAGTATTTCCTTTCCCAATATTGTCACAGCACCAATGAGCATCTCAACAGTGGATATTAGGCACCTTATAAATAAATCATTATTATTATTATTATGAAGTTGAAGAATTACCTTAAGAGCGTCATATCTACAGGATCTGTCTGCCTCAATGTTCATTCTGGTGATGTTGAGAGTGGCCAGTTTGTTGGGTGCCATCATGACTGTCCATGCACAGTTAAGGTCATTCTCATACTGGCCATTGTTGTCAATGTCCACGGAGGTGATGGTGCCGCCAGCAGTGTTGTTGAGGAAGCCTCCACATCCCTGTGCAACACCTGTGATGACACAATTCAAAACATAAAACATGTTCCGTTCTACTGGTTACGATGATGTTGGGTTAACCTGTATCGTGGTTGGATGTTTCATGAGGATTGACGAGGTGAATATGTCATGAGTGAGTGAGTGAGTGAGTGAGTATGGTTTTACGCCGCTTTTAGCAATATTCCAGCAATATCATGGCGGGGAACACCAGAAATGGGCTTTACATACTGTACCCATGTGGGGAATCGAACCCGGGTCTTCAGCATGACGAGCGAATGCTTTAACCACCAGGCTACCCCGCCATCCTGAATATGTCATGAGTGAGTGAGTGAGTATGGTTTTCACACTGCTTATAGCAATATTCCAGCAATATCACGGCAGGGAACACCAGAAATGGGCTTTACATACTGTACCCATGTGGGGAATCAAACCCAAGTCTTCAGCATGACGAGCGAATGCTTTAACCACCAGGCTACCCTGCCACCCTGAATATGTCATGAAAATTGATGAGCAAATCTCTGTCAAAACAGTTGTTAAATTTATCAAGCTTACCAAATGTCTGTCTGTAGGCAGCCGAGAAACCATCTCTTGTAACAGATATGTCTGTGACGAAATTAACAAACATCTGTCGACCAGTGGATCTAATGAATTCGGGTGTGGTGGTTCCACAGTATCGACCAATGAGAGGAGAACTGGAACTGTTACCATCTCGGACTTCCACATAATCAAATCCACATCGTGAATGCAGCTCTAGCTCAAATCTTGTAAATCTGAAATCGGAGCACATCATTCAAAAAGAGAATCATGAGTAAAGTCATTCATGTTTAATTTAGCTTTTTGCGACTTTTGCAGGGAGTGGACAGTGATATATCCAAGTTCAAATACAAGATGTCTGACAATAACTAATGTTATGATGTCTGTTACACCATACACGGGGCAATAAATGGAAGACAAGTTGACTGTGTTTGTGCTACTGTTTACTTTCTGAGCCAAGTGGGGTTGATACAAAAATTATAAATTGAGCAATTACAAAAGTGAACTTTAGGTGAAATAAAAATGAAGTGGAAATGGATTGTTTATTATAAAATGATATTACACCAGTTATACATACTTCAGTTCCACAATCCTGTTAGTGGCCACATTGATGATCCATGTGCAGTTGTGATTGTTGAGGTAGTTGTTGGGATGGGCCAGGGTGCTGAAGGTGCCATATGCATTGTTGAATATACCACCACATTCTGGAAACAAAGTATGAAAGAACAGAATTGAAAATTGCACTTGTTTGACTGTTATGTAATTGGCAATTTATATTTCGGTAGGTTTGAAACATATCACTTAACCATCCAAACATGTATCTACAATCTAAAACAAACAGTCATTTCTTAAATCATTAAATGTATGCAAAAAATGTGAGTGTCCATTGCTTGACTTCTAGAAATATGGAGTTAAACATGGTATGTGATCTGTCAAAGTTTGTATTGATGTCTTTGTGGGATGTCTTCAGACCTTTGTGCAGATCACATATTTATGAGACTGACATGACTGACTGACTGACTGACTGAGTATGGTTTTACGCCGTTTTTAGCAATATTCCAGCAATATCATGGCGGGGGACACCAGAAATGGGCTTCACACATTGTACCCATGTGGGGAATCAAACCCGGGCCTTCGGCGTGACGAGCGAACGCTTTAACCACTAGGCTACCCCACCGCCCGAGACTGACATAAAGACATAAGAGTGAGTTTAATTTTATGCAACTTTTAGCAATATTCCAGCAATATGACGGCTGGGGACACCAAAAATGGGCTTCAAACATTGTACCCATCTGGGTAATTAACAGTGAACCCAGGTCTTCAGCGTGAAAAGCAAACGTTTTAACTACTACCCACGAAACATAAGAAATCACCCTCTCAGAGCTGTAATTTACCCTGAGACTTCGTTTTTCTATAACTCCCAATTCTTGGCAACTTGTTTTGTCCTTAAGATACACTTGTAGTTGAAAACATTGTTATCAGTTAAGAGACAATATATGCCACAGTATAAAATATTATTTTTGTGTGGTGTGTTTTTTTGATTCAAGATACAATGTTTCCAAACTTCAAAAGCAGGACATTTTGTGCTACATCAATGCAGAATGAAGACAGAATACCTTTCAGAAAGTGGCCAATTGAAAAATGATGTTAAATTTGGAATTACACTTTCCTGCAAAATACACACTTTCGTGGGAGAGTCACACTTTCCTGAGAAAGTCATAAATAACACCTTTGTTGCACATAAATACGATACTCAAAGTATTACTCAATTATCAGCTACTTCAGATACATATACAGTATCGTGCCAAAAGAGACGTCATGGGTTTGACAAGGCAACATCTCGTTGGTTTTATTTTGTCTCACTTTTGAACTGCGAGATCTTATGATGTGAAATTTCTCTCACAATTGGATGATGTTTTCACGTATTGAATGCCACACCTTTTATTGTCATCTACTTGCAGTCTCTCTATTTCTGGCACTGATTTCATGATGGTTCAGATAAGGAACACTTGACATTGTATGAGGACCATTTTTGTGCATTGAAAAAAGGAAATGTTTTCATTTTGATAGAGAAGTTTGCTTACCTTCAGCAACAAAATTGGCCTTAAAGCCTTGGTAAACAACGCTTCCATCGGTGGCAAACTGAACATACATTCCTCCAAGAGCAGTGATGGTTTGAGGTGGTGTGTTACCACAGAAACGTCCAAGACGAGAGCCACTGGTATCATTGCCAGAGTACACCGTAATAGAATCATACCGACAAGATAATGCTGTAATGAACAAAACATGTTGAAATGTTTCAAAACGTGTGGACGTCTATCATATATAAACTAACAGGCAAAAGAAATGATACCAAGTCGAAATCACTGATATTACAAAACAACAAACCACCATTGTGAAAAAGGGCGACAAGCATCGACATTAGAATCTGTATCAAAACGTCGCCCTTCACAAAATAAAAGAAGTTGTATATCCATAAAAATTGTCATCATTCTTCATGTATTTAACTGATGAAAATATATGCTTTTGTCTTTTGTAAACACACGTGATATCTACAATCTCTGTTAGCGCTTTGAGCACACTTTGGTGTGGAGTTTAGTGCAATATAGGAATCCATATTATTATTATTATTATTATATATCTGAATCTTAATGAATTTTCTTCAAATTTAATAGAATTTCTAGTGCAATCATATTGGCGTAGTTTGAGGCTAAAATTCATAGTGACTACGATAAAATCATAGAATTCTTGTATTTTCTGAGTGAGATCTCTAATTGAATTTTATACAACATTCAACTTTTACTTTGTTTCAGGGTGCTTTACACAAAACATGGCTACCTCAATCTATTTTTTCTGGAAATGCTGAAAGAACATTCAATTCAGTTTCTCAAGAAATTGTGTGCCACTTACGTCCTTCCAGTCGGAAGAGAGTGCTGTCGAATGTAAGAGAAAGGTATTTCCCTGGATCTCCCATGATGGTGTAGTTGCACATGATGTTGTTGGGGTAGACGGAGGGGTAGCCAGGTGACGTGAACATCCCCGTGTCTCCATAGTAGGTTCCTCCACAAGCTGAATTGGAACAAATATAACACTGTCTGATGAAATGAAAGACTTTGGTTTAACAAGAAAGAATAGAAGGAAACATCTCCAAATTTTCGTTTGTTGTAACTTTATTGGTTACTGTATTGTAAAGATCTCATAGAAGTCATAAATAATTGGATATAATGACACGACAAATCTAGTCAGTCTTTGGTACTTGAAAAACATGAACTGCAGTAATGCTGCAGAACCAGCAGAACCAGCAGCCCCCATGTCCCCTTCAGACAGACTGATGACCTACCTGAAGAAGATTTCACACTTTACTTTTAACTTGACAGTTTGTTCACTATTTATGTGTGTATTTCACTGAGCAAGCTAAAAATATAAGATCACCCCACCCACCTACTACCCATAACAGTATAATATTAGAAACATTATCATCACGAAGCACAGGCTTCTGGTTCCAAACAAAGAGACAACAAATTTAATGCAGTATTTTCATTGGTTCCAGTCAAGTGACCATTTATCCTAACCAGTACCAATTCCGACATTTTTTCATGGGCTGATTATTGAAGAGGCTCATTTTAGTGATATTAATAATTTATCAGCCATAGCTTAATTTCCTAATAGGGACTGGTCATTAGGGGCTGAAGAAATGTTAGAAACAGTTGGACATGAGGTTCAGCAAACTATGATACATTCGACCTACGACCCAACTTTCACCACTCCCCAAAAACAAATGACCAAGCCATCATATTATTTATATATGGAATACTTTATTATGAGGTGAGGTTAAATTGGGTTTAACGTCGTGCTTGAGAATATTTCGCTCATATGACGACGTGCATGCGTGTGTATGTGTATGTGCGGCTGCTTGTACTAGCCCAGACTTAAGCTGGTTTTATAGTGCTAGCTCACTGAGATACCATGCCACAGTGAAGCATGAATACCCCACTCAGACACAGTATACTGACTCCGAGACGACTAGTCCTTGTTGTACCTGTTAATGCTGAGCGCCAGGCAGGGACCAACAAGTACCATATTTTGGTATGACGGTCGGGGATCTAACCCTCGACCTTCCGCTCTCCGGGTGGACGCTCTAACCACTACACCACGGAGGCGGTCTACTTTTTTATGTGATGGTAGAAAATTGATGACTGAAAACAAACATAACTGGTTAATCGTCTTGTTCAAACTCACATGTCGTCCAGTTGGCTGAGAAGCCAGTACCTCTGGCGCTGAAATCTGACCTAAACTTGAGCTTCATACGGTTGGTGGTTGAAGTGAATGGGTCAGGCAATACGGTGCTGCACCAACGTCTGCTAGGAATCAGTGTCCCATTGGTCAGAACATTGCTCATCTGAACATAGAGATGAATAAACACAATCAATCAACATCAATATAATAATTTGTCCTTCAATGCCGATGAAGAAAATATATGCAGCCCTTCACTACCATTGCAGAAAAAATACTCTAACCATTCACTAGTTGAATAAAGTCAACCCTGTCTGTCAGAAATGTCATAGTCAATATAATGATCTGTCACTTCACCACCATTGCAGACAAAAATAGTGGGTTTTTCAGTGGGAACCTTTATTTTCTTACTCATTTATGCCTCATTTTTAATGTTTTCGAATCCCCCCTGGTTGGTTAAATTATGAGAATTGGGTTAGTCACCAAAATTTTATTAATTGAAAACACACACTACTTGTCTCCCATCTTCCTTTTGGTGCTGTATGACCTTGTAACCAAGGTCATCTGCTACAAACTCACTTGGACATAATCATACGGACAACTGCTTCCTGCTTCAAGGTCAAAGGCCTGGAAGTTCATCTGAACAGTGTAGCCATTGTCCACGTTGATGTCCCATTCACACTGGGTGTTGTGTGGGTAGAAGCTAGGGTAGTTCGGGCTGCTCACAGTTCCTTCATTGCTGTGGAACAGACCTCCACAAGCTGAAAATCAAGTCAAGACCATTTGTTAATCCAAACTATGAATCTGACACTGATGATTACAGCTGGGGAGGTGGGGTAGCCTAGTGGTTAAAGCGTTGGCTCATCACGCCGAAGACCCGGGTTCGATTCCCCACATGGGCACAATGTGTGAAGCCCATTTCTGGTGTCCCCCACCGTGATATTGCTGGAATATTGCTAAAAGTGGCGTAAAAAAAGAAGAAAGAAAGATTACAGCTGAAGACTTGAGCATCTGTCATATTGTTATACAGTATATACCCTGGTTATAATGCCATATTTTCTCCTGGACAAAGCGTGGCATTATAACCCTACATTATAACCACGGTTTACTGTACATATTATTCATTCTAGTAAAACATTCCCTTGAAAACTGGAGTTCACCAAAATATTTCAAACTTAATACAAATGTCACTTGGCTCAGAACAGTTATCATATGATTGTAAAATTTATGATATTTACCAAACTATTTCAAACATAATTAAAATGTCACTAGACTCAGAACAGTTTTCAAAAACTGTGAAATAAAGGTCCAAAACACAACTGCAATATGCGTGGTCTTCAGCCAGGGGCAGTTGAAGTTAAGCAATACTCGTCATGAAGAGTCCTTGGATGGGTGAACATGTTTGGCAACATTTGACTCCTGAGAGGTTTTAGGACTTCATTCCTGCACCACAGAGACATGTGGTCTCACCTTAGGCAAGTTACTTTGTTAAAAATTGCCTGTGTTCACTCAGCAGTGAATGGGTACCCGGTTTGGATGAGATGGTCATATGACTGTTAACCTTCTGCAGCCTTTGCAGGCAGCTTGGTTTGTAGTGAGTGAGTGAGTTTTACGCCACTTTAAAGCAATATTCCAGCAATATCAAGTCAGGGGACACCATAAATTGGCTTTACACATTGCACCCATGTTGGGAATCAAACCCAGGTCTTCGGCATGACAAACAAATGCTTTAACCACTAGGCTACCTCACTGCCCCAGCTTGGTTTGAAATGCACATTGATCTATTGACTAGGGTGACAATGTTAGCGCTCTGAGAATACACCTTGTGTGTGGATGTGTACAGGTACATATATTATTATATTATTATTTAACCATATCAAGTTCATTTTAGGCCATCATCAATACTTGAGATAATCATAAGGACAATCAACCTTGGTGGAGCTCCTTACCATTTGTCTCAAAGGTATACATCACTTTAAATCCCCCTGCTCCGAGTAACTTGGCTTGAGATAATCATAAGGACAATCAACTTTGGTGGAGCTCCTTACCATTTGTCTCAAAGGTATACATCACTTTAAATCCTCCTGCCCTGAGTAACTTGGCTTGAGATAATCATAAGGACAATCAACCTTGGTGGAGCTCCTTACCATTTGTCTCAAAGGTATACATCACTTTAAATCCTCCTGCTCCGAGTAACTTGGCTTGAGATAATCATAAAGATAACCAACCTTGGTGGAGCTCCTTACCATTTGTCTCAAAGGTATACATCACTTTAAATCCTCCTGCTCCGAGTAACTTGGCTTGGACATATCCAACCTTGGTGGAGCTCCTTACCATTTGTCTCAAAGGTATACATCACTTTAAATCCTCCTGCTCCGAGTAACTTGGCTTGAGATAATCATGAGGATAACCAACCTTGGTGGAGCTCCTTACCATTTGTCTCAAAGGTATACATCACTTTAAATCCTCCTGCTCCGAGTAACTTGGCTTGAGATAATCATAAGGACAATCAACCTTGGTGGAGCTCCTTACCATTTGTCTCAAAGGTATACGTCACTTTAAATCCCCTGCTCCGAGTAACTTGGCATGAGATAATCATGAGGATAACCAACCTTGGTGGAGCTCCTTACCATTTGTCTCAAAGGTATACATCACTTTAAATCCTCCTGCTCCGAGTAACTTGGCTTGAGATAATCATAAGGACAATCAACCTTGGTGGAGCTCCTTACCATTTGTCTCAAAGGTATACGTCACTTTAAATCCCCCTGCTCCGAGTAACTTGGCTTGAGATAATCATAAGGATAACCAACCTTGGTGGAGCTCCTTACCATTTGTCTCAAAGGTATACATCACTTTAAATCCTCCTGCTCCGAGTAACTTGGCTTGAGATAATCATAAGTCAACCTTGGCTCCTGAGATAAACTTGACTTGAGATAATCATAAGGATAACCAACCTTGGTGGAGCTCCTTACCATTTGTCTCGAAGGTATACGTCACTTTAAATCCTCCTGCTCCGACTGAAGGATCAGTCATGAAGACAAGTCGGACAGAGTTGCTCTGGGACAGGAAGTCAGAAGGTACACTGTTGCAGTAGGTGCCAATCAGTGGTGAGTCACCATAGCCGCCATTGAAAACTTGGAGATAGTCATACTGACATGTAGGGGAACTTTCCAGATTCATCGCCACAAAATGGACCTGAGAACAACATAGGTTAATCATGAAAATTTCATTTCCATACTAAAAGGAGTGGATATACATCTCTAGAAAAGAAGGAGAGAAATGTGTTTAAACTTCAATTCACATTCAGAAATTATGAAACTGTTTTGACAATTTTTCACCAAATGAGTGAGTGGGTGAATATGTTTTGAACAGTATTCCAGTGACACCATAGCTTGTCAGATTAATGTGGGATGAAAGCCAGAATTGACGCAGGTCTTTCACTTGGTAAAAGACCTGAATAGGGTAAACAGGGTACATTTACCATAGGGTAAATATGGTATGTTACACAATAGGGTAAACAGGGTACATTTACCATAGGGTAAATATGGTACGTTACACAATAGGGTAAACAGGGTACATTTACCATAGGGTAAATATGGTAAATTACACAATAGGGTAAACAAGGTAAATTCCATCATGGGGTAAACAGGGTACATTATTCCATATTCCATATTCCATAAACAGATATATTACAGCATGAGGTTAAATAGGTATTACACCACTGGGTAAAGGGTATATTACACCATAGGGTAAACAGGGTAACCTAAATTATGGGGTAAATTGGGTACATTACCTCAGAAGTTAAACAGGTGTTTTAAACATCATGAGGTAAACAAGGTAAATTCCACCATAGGGTAAATTACTTCCTGTGGTAAACTGTCTAAATCATACCATGTATCCCTTTTTCGTTGCTTACATCATTCACTGAGTTCTTAAAATCACAATTCACACGGGTTTCTGTAACAGACATTACCCTTATTCTGGTGCCTTCTGGAGCCAGGATCTGCCAGGCACAGGCGTCGCCATGGTTATACGTAGCTGGATAGTTGGGGCTAGTAATGGCACCAGAGCGCTGGGTTAGAACACCTCCGCATGCTGAAAGCAATGGAAATATCCATGTTTGTCTTATACACTTATAAATCCATATAGTCAAATAAAAAAATTAAATTGCCCTAGACAGATCTGTTTGTCTGGAAAAAAACATGAATAAAATATGCATCCTACATGTTAGCTGAGGCCATTTAAGCTGATTATTCAGATTCAAGAAACTCACATGTTGTTTCAATATCCAGCCAAAAGCCTCGTCTTACAATAGAGAAGTCGGTCTTGAATCTGAACCACAATGAAGGCACTGGAGATACAAATGGTCTTGGAATCGTGTTGTTGCCACAGAACTGTGTCAGGAGTGGAGCACTTTGACTGGTTCCTGGAAGAGAAAATGGTATTTTGGTATTTTAGAAGGGTTTCACTGAAACATCATATTCCTCCAAATCAAGAAGATATCCATAAATAAGTGCCCTTATATGCATCACGTCTAAATGCTGTTCAAACACTGTACTGCCTGTACTGGTAAATCCTCACTGCCAGACAATTAGAGACTGTATTTTTCTCAGGCAGTTAACCTTAGGAAATTACATTCCAGGTGGCCATACTGAGTTTTTAAACAGAACATGAAATATATGAATAATAGATGTTTTAAATCTCATATTAGCTGATATGATGATCTACAAATACAGCTAAGCAACAAATCTGAAATTGCCCAAATACTATCTGCCATCATTGCTAGCGATTAGAAAATACATGAAGCAGCTTGTACTCCCATCAATGCAACGAGGTTGCCAAAGCTGAATTTCATATTAAACCATTTAACTGATTGTTATTATGCTACCATGTGCAAATAGCCTGTTCAGTTTACAAATTTGTGATGATCAACTCTACTCCTGAGCAAGTAAATATTGCGAGTCAGTCTGTGCCGGTTTGTGGCACAATATATTTTGATCTTCTGCATTGGTATCAGCAATGCCTTGTAAAGAGAAGGAGGCTTAGGAAGATACTGACTTGAAGATGACATCTTCAACTACAAATGTTGCACCAAACCTGTTTAGAATGACATTTAGTCTGAGAATCATAATTTTCTTACTAAAATAAATATCAACAAATATATAATATATATATATATATAATTTTTCAAGTAAGGCTGGTCACATGACTGTTGACGCGGGAAAAGGGAGGTAACTCGTGGGTGAGTGTATTTTTACGTCCACTTCGGGAACTTCAAGGGATTCAAGTGTTCCACTACCATTCGCAAGGAAAATGGGAGATAAAAGATCATGAGTCAGGATAAGAAAAAAATAAATATATATATATATATATCAAACGGTCAATGAGCCCACACCTCGAACCATTCTTAATTTAAGGAGTAGGGCTCCTGGTCAATTTATTCTCTAAGGTCTGGGAGTCACATAGCTCAGACTGTAGTGAACATAAAATTATACATTGTTACGTCAAATTTACACTAAACGTGACTACCTCAGGCCTTTCTTCATGGCAATGCAAGAAGCCATACATTCAATTCTCCAAGAAATCTAGACTTAGAGCTGGTCTATTTTTTTTATATCTTCTCTAGGTACAGGTAGATGTGTACCTTCTCTGATGTTGAGGAAATCAAATCTGCATTGGACATGTTGTTCCAGTTCCAGGTCCCTTACGATGATCTTGATGGAGGAGTTGACATTCACGGGGTTGTTGACGGTCCACAGACACTCAAGGTTGTTGGTGTAGTTGCCGTTCTCAAAGTAGCCAGGTGAGGTGATGTTGCCAGCACCATTGATGATGCCACCACAATCTGCAGGTGGATGAAGAAGGACAACATCAAGATGATTATAGCAATTGTAAGGCATTATCAAAATGGACACTCAAAACTGGAGTCAAACCCATTAACCCCTGGTTTGTGACCTCTGGTGTCTTGTTCGGACCCCAAAACAAACAAATATTTTTTTTGGGTATGATATATTAGTAAATGCAATATCATCATCTGTCGAGTAATCCACATCTCAGGTGCGGATCCAGTGGGTGGGCCCCCCCCTTCTCCCCCTAAAAGATTTTCCCTAAGGAGCATTTCCCGGTAACCTTTGGATTTCATGAATTATGTGCACACACACTCCGTCTCCAAAATTCTGGATCCGCCCCCCTGACTCAACCGAAAGACTGTGCCCTTTTCCATTCAGTATATTTACGAGGGGCTACAGACAGGAAAGTAAAGAAATATTACAGATTAATTAGTTTCATATGAAAACATCCTTCCAGTAGTAATTTTGGGACTGTGTTACACTCCCAAAACTTACCTGCTTCATTGTTGGAAGAGTAGGTTGCCCTGAAGCCTCCATAAGTGACTGATCTATCAGTTCGGGAACTTGACACGCATGTAATTTCCTGAGGACTCAATAACACCAGGATTTGTGTCACCACAGTAGCGGCCGATTCTCGGAGAGTTGGACAGGATACCATTGTAAGCCTTGAGAGAAATATTTTCAATTAATTATGGATATGGATATAGATTCAAGCAAAGTTGCCTACTATCTGCTCTTAAATTAAGAATTTATTTTAAATTTTAAATTTAAGTATTTACTTTTCAGAATTGTAAACTTAAGTAGTAAACAAAGTAGTAGGAAAGGCTTAGGTATCCACACAGACAGTGTAAACATAATTGAACCAATGATAGGTTGGTTGTTGTTTAATGCTCAGCATTCAGCGATGGTCTGTCAATAATTGAGTCTGGACAAGCCAATCCAGTGATCAACAGCATGAGCTTCAATCTATACATGTGAGTGAGTTTTGGTTTTATGCCGCTTTTAGCAATATTTCAGCAACATCACGGCGGGGAACACCAGAAATGGGCTTCACACACTGTACCCATGTAGGGAATCGAACCCGAGTCTTCCACGTGACGAGAGAACGCTTTAACCACTAGGCTACCCCACCCACCCCTCTATACAAGTGGGATACTATGACATGTGTCAACTAAGTCAACAGACCTGACCACCCGATCCTGTTGGATCCCATGCTTGTTGTAAGAGGCAACTAACAAGGTCAGGTGATCACGCCCTATGGCTTGGTTGACGCGTGTCATTGAATGAAAACCAATTCTAACCCAGATGTTGACAAGTATAATCTAATGTGTTAGACAAATTTACTTCAAACATTGGTGGAACTCAATTTCATATACAGTAAAAACAGTTGGGATTAAAACTAACTAAGTTTAGGTCATTTTAATCGTATATCTATTTTGAGTAAAATTTACAGCAAGTGTACCAGAGTGAAAGAACAGTTCATTATATCCGACATTTCTGTAACTGTGGTTGAGTACAGTTTTACACCGCTTATAGCAATATTCCAGAAATATCAAGGCGGGAGAAGAACACAAAATTACTCACCTCAATATAATCCCAGCTGCATGTTCTTGAGGATTCAAGTCTGAAATCTGTGAAGGTCAAGGTCACTTTTCGTCCTGCCGGAACTTGTATTCTCCACTCACAAATGCGATTATGAGCATACACTCCTGGGTAGTTGGGAGACGTTAAAACACCTGACGGTGTTACAAGGTCACCTCCACACGCTGCAACATAAACAGTTAACCATTAGAAACTATAAACATCAGCACCAACGATTCACTCTGATAAGTGACAGTGGGGTAGCCTAATGGTTCAAGTGCTCACACGTCACAATATGGGATCAATTCAATGAAATGGAAACTGGACTGATAAGATAAACAAAATGTAACTGTCTTTTTTCCAACTTGAGAGACATCATAATAACTTAATGTGTACAAATAATTCACCATAACATACTGCAGGTTAAAAAATAAATGTGACATGAAGTAGTGGGTCATTATTTTCAGAACACTTCTGGCTAACCCATCCCACTGAAATAAATGTTTGAACCCTTGACATCCTGACTTCCCAGCAACTTTTGCTGGTTGTAAGATATGATTAAATGGAATGGGTGGTGAGATGAAAGAACAAGTGAGGGAATGCGCAAGCAAACAAATGAACGAACGCATGAACGAACAAACAAACGAACGAACAAACAAACGAATGAATGAACGCACAAATGAACAAACAAACAAACATACCTTCGACACTGGCCTGGAAGAATATACTGAAGCCTGGGGCAGCAGTGGAGGAGTCAGTTCTGAAGCGGACATAGGCAAAACTGTCTGATGTGTCGATGGGTGAAACAGTCCTTGAGCCACAACCATTGAATAGTACAGTTCCTGTGGAAGAAATGTCACCCTTTAAAGAACAGGCAGAATCAGGTTTAATATCACCACAAGATATTTTAAACTCTCGCAGTATAATGGGCATGTTTCAATTAGTTAGGACACATTACATGATAACACCATATTATCATATGATTGGGCACAATTACTACATGTTAAACACCACATTGAGATATGTTGGGCACAATTACATGTTAAACACCATATTCACATATGTTGGGCACAATTACATGTTAAACACCACATTGACATATGATTGGGCACAATTACATGTTATTTATCACATATCCTTCTCATATCATATACACATAGTATAAATTACGTATATCACATGTACAAACCAGTTTCATTGAATTCTCTGATTGCCAGAGAGTCTGCAGCACAATTGGTTGACCTTTGAATGTTGAAGGATGTGAAGGTGAAGGTTATGTAGTGGCCATCTGGTGCAAAGATGTACCATTCACAATCCAGATTTGCATCATAATTCTGAGGATAGTTCGGGCTGGTGATGGTTCCATTGGCGCCATTGATCCTGCCACCGCACGTTGCTAAGGAACAATATATTTTATATATGTTAGTATACAAGCATATAAAAGTAGTATATTCTAAACTATTATATACATAAAAAATATGAAAGTGTGTATATTTATGTATTTAAAAAAAATCAAAAAAATCTGAATGTCAAAGGCTCATTGTCTGTACATTACTTGAGGCACCAAGACATTTCAATATAGATCTTAAAGCGCATAAAACAGCATGTCCTATCTGTGAGTGGAAAGATATTTTTCAACAAATCCCAAAAGGTATTCAAACAAATAAATTTAGTTCCAAGAATGAAAGTTTTCCACAAATTTAATACACATAATGAAATTGACAAAATACCTTTTAACATCACCATAATATTTCAAAAGTAGCACAATGTCAAAAGTATTGCAAAAGAGTCACAATTCCACGATATATTCACCATTAATTCCACCTATAACTCCCTTGGAGTGATAAATATTTTGATCTGCCCTTGAATCTTGCAGGGTATGATACAAGCGAGTTGGGTTTAATGCCATTTTGAAAACTATTCCATTTATATCAGGGACTGTCAGCTTAACTTTGAAGGCCAAAAGTTATGGATGTCTTGGATGTTTCCCAGTTTGGGAAAGACCAACAAGCATGGACATGGTGCTGACAATTGGGGCAAAGTGGGAGTCAAACCCAGAATCATAGGTTTCTGTTATGCCAAAAGGAGGCAACTCTGCAGCTCCTTCAATCACTGAGCCACTCTTCATAATAATGATAATAATCAGGACATTTGTATAGCACTGATCTCGACACCTCATGGGCATGCTCCAAGTGCACACAACAGTTCAAGCCATTTTAAATATCTCCCAAAGAGATGGGTCTTGAGATGAACTTTAAATAATGTCACATGAGGGAGAGCATCTCAAATCATAGGTAAGAGAATTCCAAAGTATAGCTGACACATACTGAAAAGTTCTGGCACCAGATAATTTTAACTTTTAGGAAGAAACACAAGGAGGACCTGATCAGCAGGGCGAAGGCTTTGCATAGCTGGTAGGAAGTCTTTCCCCTTGCAATGATAGAAAATTTCTTGCATCATTCATCAAAACAGAACATACTTCAACATCTCACCTATCTCATATCGTGCCTTGAAGCCAACACGCGTGACACTGTTGTCAGTTCGGAATCGGGCAAACATGACATTGCCTGTGGAGACCTGGGTGCTGGGGAGGGTGGTACCACAGACTCGCTGCAACAGTGGGGATGTCACTGCTCCACCGTCACGACCTTCGATGTAGTCATATGTACATCTGTAGACAAATTCAAGTTAATAATGATACAAATAATGCATTTCTAACGTGCCTGCTTTCCAACGTCCAGCTGTTCAATGGTGCTCAAACAAATCTTGTGTAGATAGACTCCAGAGAAAAGGAAGGTGTTAAGTGAGTTGAGAGGATGAGACGTTCTTGATGCAACAGAGTTTGAGGGGAATAGAGTTCCAAAGAACTGGGGTTGTCAGTGAGAAGGCATCTCTGCATATTCCAAGTTAAGGAATTTAGGGTTAGATCAATACTTTGTTAAGGAATATTAAACTCATCTACGAACATTTAACCCTGAAAAACCCCAGGGAACAAGAACCTGAAGCTTAGCATCAGAGGTAGGCTAGTGGTTAAAGAGTTGGTGTTCGATTCCCCACATGGGCACAATGTGTGAAGCCCATTTCTGGTGTCTCCCACCGTGATATTGCTGGAATATTGCTAAAAGTAGCGTAAAACTAAACTCATTCAGTCAGTCAGCCAGTCAGTCTAATCATACCCATTCTGATGTATGAATGTCCTCAACTTGGTGTGAATCAGAGTCTTAACTCGGACAATTTCACACTAATATTTTCTATTTATAAAAATTATAATGATGATCTACGATAAATAATACTTAATTCCATCTCAAAGAATATTGGGAAAGGGCATACAGGTATAAATATTCCCTTACGAAGGATTATTTTCAATGTTGAACTGGTCCTCAAAATGTAGCATAATCCTCTCATTGGCTGGCGCAGTAATGATCCACGTACAGTCGACGTTGTGGGGGTAGTTGGCAGGATAGTTGGGGGATGTGATGTAGCCGCTCCTAACAGCGTTGGTGAGGGTGATGCTTCCTCCGCAAGTGATTGCAACCTCAGAAAAGATCAACCGGAAGCCATTGGCGCTACCTGAATTGTCAGACACAAAGTTGACAAAGAGACGGTTACTGGATGTCTGAAGAGTTGCTGGCCTTGAGGAGCCACAGTAATGGCCAAGCTGGTTGCCACGGTTGGTTCCATTACCAAGAGGAGGTGCTGTGGCTGATCGACCATTCAGGAGCTTAAAAACAAAAGGTTGTTAACTACATCATGATACTTAGAAGAATCTCGTGAGCACATCACAATAGCTGGAGACTTAGCCCTAACAAAATTAATCGTTTTGTCCGCTGGCTGTTATCATCATCATCATTATCATTGTCATCATCATCAGACAATATATTATTAAAAGTTGCAAACACTGCATAACACTTTGAATGATCTTCTCACTGGAATCATTACATATCATTGGTCATGTATATTCTACTGATTTTTCTGGAAAATTAAAATGTAAAAGAGACATCAAGTTGTGCAATTGATCCACAAAATAAAATTGAACTCAAGAATATGTCCACCATTAAGAGCCTATGCAATTTTAATCAATTTCAAACATATATCTATTTTCAACAAAATATATGATTTACGTTGTCATATTTGGATATTCCTTGAAAATCTTTAAGAATACCACATGGATGGCACTTATCCATGTGTTTAAGCAAGCCAGCATTGACAGTTTGGTAAGTGCTTTATAATTGAAAATTTCTTTCTAAACTTGTCAGTGTTCATGTGCGCTTCAAAAGACAGTAATTTTAATCCCAAACATTTAGGAACTATCAGAAATATTTACAAAATGGATAATTTTATCACACATCAATTTTTATACATTTTCTTCAGATTTGGGAACTGATATCATGAAAATATACAAATGCATTTCAATGTTAGAATGGTGCAATTTTAGAGTATATAAGAAAATAATTACTGCAATCATGCCTGTTATATACAGATCATTATGTTCTGAACGTTACTACTTACCAATACAAAGTGAAAACAGAAGAAACGTGACTCGAAAAGTGTTAACCCGACCTACCATCACATAGTCTGTGTCACAGGCAGCTGTACTTGGGATGTTGAATGTCTGGTTGAAGTTAACGGAAATGGTTCTCCCATTGAGGACCGAAACTGACCAAGAGCAGTTGGAATTGGCAGGGTAGGGATTAGGGTAGTTGGGACTCTGGATTACACCGGTCGTTGCTGTTAGCGTTCCACCGCAGGCTGCACAAGGAGACAAGGGAGAGATAGGAACAAACCTTGATGAAACAAAAGTGATTATTTAAGCCTACTTAATGGTTAGCTTGTGAGTAAATGCTAAAACAGTAGAAAAATCTGAATAGGCTAAGAACTGGGATGTATGGTTGGTTTGTTGGTTGAAGACATAGGCTAGAATCGGTCTTCAGTAACCCATGCTTGTTGTAAGTGGTGACTAATGAGATGAGGTGGTCAGGGTCGCTGACTTGGTTGACACATGTAATCGTATCCCAACTGCATTGATCGATGCTCATGATGTCAATCACTGGATTGTCTGGACCAGACTCAATTATTTGCAAATGTCATATAGCTGGAATATTGCTGAGTGTGGTGTTAAACAACAAACCAACCAACCAATCATGTGCTAACCTTTTCATTACTTGTTTGACACTCACCTGTTTGATAAGTCATTGAAAACCCTGTTCTGGTAACAGAGGAATCTGTCCTAAACTGAATAGTAATTCGGTTGCTGCTGGCATAGAGGATATCGGCATTTGGTGTACGTCCACAGAATGTTCCCAGAATGGGCCCTCTGGCAGCTGGGTCTGATGAAAACAACATGTTTAAGAGGACATTCATGCAGATGCTCATGTCATTTAAAGGCACTATATCACACCACACTTAAATAAATAATGCATTTCTCTGAATACTACTATCAGCCCTCAGGGAAGCTACGATATAATTTTATTTTTTGTAAATTATGCATTTAGATTACAATATTAAATTAAAAAGTTCAAATGAATTTATGCAACGCTGCATTAAATACACTCTCATGCCCTCTACTGGCTGAATATTATTTAAAGTGAACCCCATAGAGTTATGTCCCTTGGAGTGCTCTTTACGAATATCCTATGCACAACTTGTGATTGAAACCAGTTTGCCAAACACCGACAACACTGCGTGCAACAGTTTTTGATGTACAGAGCATTCATTCTTTACATTCCATAAATGGCAAGTGTTTTCAATCAGAGAACACTTGCCATTTATGGAACTTCTGCTGTTTGCCTTGAAGTTTCAATTATTGATTTCAGGCAAGTCGTAAGGGATAGTAAGTTTTTTATTGTACCAATAGGAAGCTATAGTGAGTGCATATGCCCCAATATATATATAATACTGGCCAACATACTGTTGCAAATGTGTGACATTGTGCCTTTAAAATGAGTGAATGTTGTTTTAACACTGTAGTCATAGGGCAAGGGGGTTGGTGTCATTAAGAGGCGGATCCTGAAACAAATTACAGTGATAGAGGAGAAGGGTTGACCAAAGTATCTCAACTACAGGGCGTTGAAAACATGACACAGGTCTAATCTCACTGTATGTCACGATTATATAAGAACATTCACACACATGTACGTTTATGTAACTGCTTATACTAATCCTGACCAGACTGATCTTATAGTGCTAGCTCTCTGAGATGCCATGTTGTAGCATGAGTGCCCACTGTAAACTGACTTCAAGCTGGCTAGTCTTTATTTTACCCATTACTTCTTGAACACCAGGCAGGGAACCAACAAGTACCATCTTTCAACATCTTTAGGTATGACATGGTGATGGAACCACCAACTTTTAGCTGTTCACGCTGATTCTTTAACCACTAGACCATGGAGATAGACAGAGATTGAGTGAGAGTCCTCTGTTTTCAGCGGATTTTAACATTACATTTGAGGTGGAGGGTTAGCCTTGTGATTAAAGCATTCGTTCGTCACACCGATGACTCGGGTTTGATTCCCCTTATGGGTACAATGTGTGAAGCCCAATTCTGGTGACCCCCGCCATGATATTAGTTGAATATTGCTAAAAGCGGCGTATAACCAAACTCACTCACTTACTGGGGCAGTGGGGTAGACTTGTGGTTAAAGTGTTTGCTGATTACGCTAAAGGCCCAGGTTCGATCCTCCACATGGGTACAATAAGTGAAGCCCATTTCTGGTGTCCGTTGCTGTGATGTTGCTGGAATATTTTTGCTAAAAGAAGCATAAAACTCAACTCACTCACATTTCATTGAAGAGTTCACACTATGTATACAGCTCTAAAAGTCAGTGAGTGAGTATGGTTTTATGGCGCTTTAGCAATATTATAGCAATATCATTGCAAGGGACACCAGAAATGGGCTTCTTGCATTGTACCCATTTGGGGAATCAGTCAGATCCAAGATGACACATGTGAAGTTTATAAACTCCAAATCATGTCAATTTCCCACTTACTGTCATATACTCTAACAGAGTCATAGTTGCACGAGGAATGAGACTCCAGGTTAATGGTGGTAATGTTGACGGCAATGCGAGTGCCAACAGGGGAGGTAATTCTCCAGATACAGTTCAAGCTATTGGTATAGCGATTGGGGTATCCAGGAGAAGCAAAACTCTGCATGGTATCCGTGGCGACCAGATTTCCTCCACAACCTGGCGCTGTAAAAACAAACATATTGATGTAGTGATTCTGATGATAGAACAAGAATGCTTCTTAAAATTAAACCTAAAACTCTCCCGCTGTTCATGTGGAAATGTGAACTTTAAAAATTGCTGACTTATGGCTAGATAAAAGAGAATTAATCAGGTTTATTTTTAAGTTAGTTATTTAGAAGTATGTTTATCCTCTCTGTGTTTCATTGTATGATTAACAAAGACAGTGAGTAGTATATTTCATACATAGAAATAAGTTGTTTAAATGAGAAAGACCTTTGCATCTATAATGACATAATAGAATCCTAGAATACAGGAAACATCCTCCACCCTACACACCTGTGGTTGGACCTGGTGAAGTTTGTACAGTTGCTGAAGTTGGATTCTCATTGGTCGCAGTCCAGTTGAACAGGAAACCATTTCCAGTGGATGAGAAGTCTGAGTGGAATTCAGCTCGCAGTTGATTGGACGTTGTGAGGACAGAGGGTGGGTTAGACGTGGCACAGAATCTTCCCAAAATAGGACTTGTGGCTGCAGCTCCATCCCTTAGCTTTAAGAAGAGTGAGTGAGTGAGTGAGTGACCGAGTGACTGACTGAGTGAGGGAGTGAGTGACTGAGTGACCGAGTGAGTGAGTGAGTGACCGACTGACCGAGTGACTGACTCACTGACTGACTGAATGAATGAGTGAGTGAGTGACCGAGTGAGTGACTGAATGACTGACTGACCGAGTGAGTGAGTGAGTGAGTGAGTGAGTGACCGAGTGAGTGACTGACTGAGTGAGGGAGTGAGTGACTGAGTGACCGAGTGAGTGAGTGACCGACTGACCGAGTGACTGACTCACTGACTGACTGAATGAGTGAGTGAGTGACCGAGTGAGTGAGTGAATGACTGACTGACTGACTGAGTGACTGAGTGAGTGAGTGAGTGAGTGAGTGAGTGAGTGAGTGAGTGAGTGAGTGAGTGAGTGAGTGAGTGAGTGAGTGAGTGAGTGAGTGAGTGAGTGAGTGAGTGAGTGAGTGAGTGAGTGAGTGAGTGCAAATGCAACTGGCTTAATACAAGCCTTCCGGAGAGCTTTTCATTTTGTTTTGCTTAATTATAGACATGCTTCTGCAACTGTGAAAGTAAAGTGCCAGCTCTCTGTAGGACAGTACATGCAGCCATACAACCAATGTAAACAAAACAAAACTACGCAAATGGAAGTAGTTCTTCCCCTTTTTAAATATTTTCACAATGAAATGATTCTATCCCATATGCCTACCTGTATGTGAAGACACGTAAAAAAATAGAACAGATGAAAACATATACTTGAATGAACTGAGCAAGATGTGACAAAATGTAGAGGAACTATTCTGGCCCTATTCATTTGTTTCTTTGTGTGAGTCTGGACTTGACAATCCAGTGACTGACATCATGAGGATGGAGATTCGCAGTTTGGATATGGTGTGTCATCCAACTTCAGGGAGCCTGGCATTCGATCCCGTTAGTCGCCTCTCTTTTGACAAGCATGGGTTACTGAAGATCAATTCTAACCTGGATCTTCATGGGCCCTTCAGAACTTTGGGAAGAAGAGTCATTAACTGTGAAAATCCCTGTGACTTTCATCTTCTTTGGAGTAGTATGTGTATATTGTTTCACAATCTGGTACATCTATGATAAATAATCAGTGATGCCCATGATCATTTTTTAAATATACTGATGGAACAAAAATCAGTGATCACATGAAAGTACAAGTATTCCTTTATTTTTTTCCAAGGTTTCTTCACAAACTCTGAATCTGAAACAATAAAGGAACACTTGTGCTTTTATGTGATCCCTTATTTTTTTCCCCTCAATATATTATAATTACATATATCACATCTTGGGATCAAGTTAAAAAATAATGTAAATAGTCCTACCCTTATGTAGTCAAAGTAACAGTTTGAAGTGAACGACACTTCTATATCTATGAAGACGAAGGTGACTCGGATCCTCATCCCGACTGTTGTGGTGACGATCCAGACATAGTCGACCGATGGGGGTACTGACCAGGGTAGCCAGGGGAAGCAATCTGACCAGACAATCCTGTGATGGATCCGCCAAATGCTGTGGAAAAGAACACAGCAATGTATAATTTTAATTATTAGTATAAAGTGAGTGGGTATGGTTTTAATCTGCATTTAGCAATATTCCAGCAATATCACAACAGGAGACACCAGAGCTGGCAATGGTCTCAAGTACTACTAGTAATTATTAGGAATAATACCACAACAAAATTTGTTGCAGGCTTATTGGACAAAACATTTCATATATAGGTTGAGAAACATCAAACCAGACAATTATAACCACACATAATTAAAACTTAAAACCCATGTATTATTTTTAAGCTGCAAAACTCGTTCATGTAATTTGCCTTTTAATAATCGGTCATAGTCAAATAAATAGACTGATATACCTGTACCAAGTTACCCATATGCCACAATAAAATTACTGCTCTAATAATTATGTTCTGTGGTATTGAGGATAGTAATAATTATGACTGTATCAATGTACAATTGATTTATATTCTCAACTCCCTGGGGAGAATACAAACCAAGCTGCTGAGAAGTATTATTCATATTGCCTCCTCATTGAATAATATGTGTTTGGTAAGAACTGACAGTCTAGAAACTATTGTGAGTACCACATATGATAGGCTGTAAGAATACAAATCTGTCAAATCTCATCAGAGCTATACTGGGTCACAAGCCTGTTGAGGACCAATGTCTTACACACTATTGAGTGTACAACTTATTACAGGCTCTCGGAATACAGCTGTGTAAAATCTCACCAGAGCTATACTGGGTCACAAGCCTGTTGAGGACCAATGTCTTAGAAACTATTGAGCGTACAACATATTACAGGCACTCAGATGAGAGCTGCGTCAAATCTCAGAATAAAGCTGTGTAAAATCCCACCAGCGCTGTACTGGGTCACAAACCTGTTAAGGACTGATGTCTTAGAAGCTATTGAGTGTACAACATATTATAGGCTCTCACCAGTGCTATACTGGGCCAGAAAACCAGTTGATGTTCCAGAGCCATCAGACCTGAACTTCATCCAAATTCCATTTGCAGCTGTCATGTTGGAAGGTAGACTGCTTCCACAAAATCGGCCAATCAGAGTCCCGGTAGGCCCTCCAGACCTCATCTCCAGGTAGTCAGAGTAACAGTTTGCGGACTGAGTTAAAGCAAATTGACTGAAACATAAAACATCAATGATTTTAAAAGCCGGAGCCTTTTAGCTATCAGTTTAGATGACGAATGGCCCGTGAGATATTTTAATGACTGCTATTCATGCAGTCTTACATTGTGATTCCTACACAGGTTTCGGTGTGACACCATTGATCTTTCAACAATATTTTTCGAAACACATCTAATGAACGGAAGTAATTTGTTCCTTACAGACCCTTGGATTCAGATCAACATATTTTTTGTGCAGAATTTTACACGATGCACAAATGTAAGTTCAGTATGCTCAAATATAGAGAATGGGTGCAGAAATTTTTGCTAATACATCCAGTGGGATGCCCAAAATTATTCATTGTACCCACAACACATCTATGATCTTGCTAAGTGTTTTGTTGTTTCTTTCAGAGAAATTATGTTCATCTTTTCATCCATCAGTCCACATGATCAATGATTCTTTCCAGAAATTATCGAAATATACAGTTCTCTACACTGTTACTTCACAGCATTCTCATATTGTCCGCAAGGACCCATAAAACTAAAAACTGGATGTCCCCAGGAACCCCATGGTTTAATTTGAGGTAAAACCGTGTTTGTGTATTCTCCTAATCACAGCCGCACATAAATACCCAATGTCATCCAGCCTACTGCTTACTACTCATAGCGTAACCCTCCACCAAAGTTTCCATGCTATCAGTGGATTATCAAAGTGATCGTGATGATAAAAACTTGTCTTGACATAGGATGACGGCATGGTGACATAACTAGGTCTGTCTTCAATGCCGTAAAACATTACATGGCAATATCAGCATGTGGTATTGGCACCTCAAAGTAGATTATCAAAGTGAACTTGATGATGAAAACTAGATAGTGTAGCATTTAGGGATGACTTGACGGCATGGTGAAGTAACTAGGTCTTTAATGTCGTAAAACATTACAATGTTTTCATGTGGCATTGTCGTAACATCAATATATTACATGTAAGACCTAGGAGCCTTTACTAACATTCTATTACCATAAACCTTAAACACAGATGTAAGTGAGTTCAACGAAGAACAACCTGTAAAGATGCGGGTTAGAATTGATCTTCAGCAACTCTTGCTTGTCATAATAGGCAACTAACGGGATTAGGTGGTCAGGCTCACTGACTTGGTTGACACATGTCATCATATCCCAATTGTGTAGATCAATGCTCATGATATTGATCACTGGATTGTCTGGTGGAATATCACTGAGTGCGGCATTAAACAAAAACAAACAACAAAATCATCAAAGCACAACCAACTAATCAATGAATGAACCTTAGGTCATCACCATGGGTTAGCCAATCATTGACCTGGGACTCATATGTTACCATAGTTACCTCACAAGAGTTTCTCAACCACAGGTGTGGAGGAAAATACAGTCTTAGAAATCCAGTGAAGGTTTCATCATCATGTCATATCAGGTATTAACATCAGAAATCTTTGCCATCATCATGATAACTTTGGAAAACCTATCCATCAATTATTCTCAATGTTGAAACGTCTATGTTTACTTACCTGAACGACACCATGAGGCTGTTGCCAGGTGCACCCTGAACGGTCCACACACACTCCGTGTTGCCAGGGTAACTGTTAGGATAGCCAGGACTGGTGAAGGATCCACTCTGTGCAGTGTAGGCTCCACCACAACCTGTAAGGTCCAAGTCAAGGTCAAGGTCAAGATCTAGGTGATGGTGATGGTGATGACAAATAAGACCTGGTTTGTATCAGTTCATACTGAGTGAGTTGGGTTTAATGCCATTTTGAACAGAACTCCAGTTACATTGCTTTGTATCAGTTTAATCAGTTTTATGCTGAACATCCAAGTGATATGGGTGTCAGATGATGTTAGAATCTGTACTTTACCGAGAAAGTGTAATCCCAACATATTTACATAAGGTATTTACATTAGAAATTTATTGAGATCCATGTTCCAAATAATGCTTTGATATTTCTTGTTTCAATTTTTTGTTTCAAGTTTGGTCACACTGCCTTTGTGTGTATTTAAAAATATTTCTGAAATATTTAAAGGCACATTGTCACACATTTTTTACAATATTTTGGCCTATATCATATATATTGGGGCATACACACTCACTTTAGCTTTCTATTGATATAATAAAAGACCTATTATCCCTTACAATTTCCCTGAAATCGATAATTGAAACTTTGAGGTAAACAGCTTCCAAACAGAGAACACTTGGAATTGCTCCATTCATTGAAAACTGTCGCATGCGGTGTTGTCGATTTGCCGTAGTTGTGCGTAGGATATTTGTATAGAGCGCTCAAAGGAACATAACTCTATGGGGTTCACTTGAAATAGAGGGTGTGAGAGTGGATTTAATGCAACATTTTAATTTAATATTGTAATCTGACTACATAATTTTGTTTTGGAATACATTATATAGTAGCTTCCCTGAGGGCCGATAGTTAGTAACTATTGAGAGAAATGCATTATTTGTTTTTAGAGAAGTGTGGTGTGACATTGTGCCTTTAATCTTTTCATGCAATGTAGTTCATTAACTACTAACTGGAGGATGATTTGGTGTATGTGGCTCTGAATCCAGTTCCTTGGATGGAAGAGTCTGAGACGAAAATGACAAACATGGCCGATCCTTGTGATCGTATTGGGCTTGGAACTGTGTTGCCACAGTATGTTCCTAACTCGGGGGAGTTTGCATCATTTCCATCCAGCACCTTCACATAGTCACGAGAACAACTGCCTCGACTTTCAACATCCATGTGGGTGAAGGTCAAGGTCACACGATCACCTAGTAACAGAAGGTCATTAGATTTAGTTACATGTGTGAGAAAGATGAGAATATAGCTTGGATGCTACACAGTGGGGGCAATAGAAATGGACTTCATACATTGTACCCATGTGAAAATGAACGCAATAATTTTTGGTCATTTTTACATAAATTGTACTGCATCATCTTCTAATAAGAACAGAACAAATATTCACAAGATACCTCAAGATTCCAATTACATTGACTTATCTTTTGTCCATGATTTGAACAGTATTGATCTTCTTGCAATATGATCTTTTTGCCAATTCCCACCTTCGCTCAAAGTTTAAATTCTGACTTCTGAAAGGGACTGATTGAGTGAGTATGGTTTTATGCTGCTTTTAGCAATATTCCAGCAATATTATGGCATAGGACACCAGAAATGGGCTTCACACATTGTACCCATGTGGAGAATTGAATCAGAAAAGGACAATGTATTAAAATATAATGAGAGAAAAAAGGATAACAGGAAAATTCAAACATTCCTTTATTATTTTCCAGTTTTCATTACCACAATGCTATTCAAAGCTGGTGATGAAAACTGGAAAATATTAAAGGGAATGTTGGACGTTATTTGTATCTCTCAGTATATATAGGGGGTCACCTTTTGGGGGGGTTGCTTTACAGACAGTGATATTGATAAATGTTCACTCGGCTCATGACAACGACACCTACTGTTGTGGTCTGCCTGGATCAGCCAAGTGCAGTTGCTGTTTCTGTCGTAGGTGTTGGGGTAGTTGGTGCTGGTGAGGACTCCATCCGTCTCGGCGTTCCTCACTCCGCCGCACGCTGTGGACACAGACAAGTGACATTCCTGTTATGGTGATGTAACAAGAGTCATCACAAGATGACATATCCCCCCAACCCCCCACATATTTGAAAGAACAAATCATCTGGCAGTTACTTAAAGTTCAAAACCGTTTCCATGGAAATCATGAAAGCATAAAAAATGCCAAAAATCTTTAAATAGCAAAAGGCACCACTTCAAGATCTGTCTCAAATATCTGCCAAGTTCTGTTGAAAGATATTGAATGCTTTTTGAGTTGTGCTCCGGAAATGAAGCCCACCCCTCAATTCTGGTACTAAGTCCGAATCATTTCCATGTAAACCCGGAAAAGTAAATAGCAAAAGGCACCACTTTGGCATCTGCCTCACATAACTACCAAGTTTTGCTGAAAGATATTAAGAAGTTTTCGAGGTGTCCAAAAGGCACCACTTAAGGTTCTGTTTGATATATCTACCAAGTTTTGTTGAAAAATATAGAATGGTTAAAGAGTTATGCTCTGGAAACGAAGCCCACCCCCTCTTTAAAAACTAAGTCCAAAACGTTTCCATGGAAACCGAGAAAAATAAAATGACAAAAATATGTAAATGGCAAAAGGCACCACCTTAAGTTCTGTTTGATATATCTACCAATTTCTGTTGAAAAATACTGAACGGTTTTTGAGTTATGCTCCGGAAACCAAATGATTACGGACGGACAGACGGACGAGGCATCAACTATATCCCCCTCCGCATTACATGTCGGGGGGATAAAAATGATTCGAAAAAGATGTGAACAATGATTGTGTCTTTAATGTGATTCAGTGAGGGTGTGGACACAGATGTTGTTGTAAAATGGGGTTTGGATAAGAAATGCAACCAGATGGTGTTGAAAATCACACGGAATCAGGGAGAATGGTGGTGTTGGTTGGTGTTTCAAACAGGGATCAGAGGATATGATTTGTTTGCTTGTTGCTGAACGCCGCACTCAGCAATATTCCAGCTATATCGTGGCAGTCTTTAAATAATCAAGTCCGGACCAGACAATCCACTGATCAACAGCATGAGCATCAATGTATGGAATTGGGATACAATGACATGTGTCAACCAAGTCAGCGAGCCCGACTGCCCAATCCTGTTAGTCGCCTCAAAGTGTTGGGGTTGGGGTCATCTGGGTCGTCCCCTGGGTCATCATCAAAGCCATGGTTGTACCAGCATACCTGTTACATAGTTTGCCTTGAACCCTCTGCCGGCTACAGAGAAGTCTGTTCTCATTCGTATGTACATCTGGTTGTTGGAGGATCTGTAGGTGACTGGGTTAGGGAGTGCATTACCGCAGTGTCGTAGCAGTTCCGTAGAGTTATCATTGTCGCCGTCATTAACCTAGAGGCATCAATAAATGTATAAATTCTCCTTGAAACAAATCATATATCATCATCTGGATATATTACCTGACATACATTCAACAATCCTGAGAATCCTGTGATAACAGGCCGTCATATAACATCATACATTTTATATACTTTGCAAACCAGTTTTTATCCTCACTCACTAAATTTTGTTCAAGAATAAATAATAAAATGTTTTTGCATTGCTAAGTATGAACTTTATGATATCCAGGAAAAATGCATGCTTTTTACTTTTATGGTTCAAATCAGTCACATTCAAACAATTAGTAATTACTTACAGTAACATAGTCGAAACGGCAAGTTGTGGAGCCCTCAACATCAAAGTCTACAAACGTGAGCTCCACTGGACGGTTCTCCTCCAGCTGTATCAGCCACTGGCAGTCTGTGTTGTGTGGATAGGGACTCGGATAGTTCTTGGAATATATTGTGCCAGTGCGCGTACTGAAAAATCCTCCACAACCTAGGACAAAATTAACGTTGATTGTGAATGTGTTCTCATTCCTTCGGTGTCAATGTTAACAGCAACCTGTTTCACAACCTAAGTCTCCAACCCTGGTAGGAATAAATTATGAACTAACAATGATAAATGGACAAATCGTTTACTGGACATCCTGAAATGCTTATCTCTTTGTTAACCCCATAAACCCATAGTTACCACTCTGGAAGGTGTCGCCTAGGAATTCCTTTAAACAAAAATAGGGTCCCGAAAATCTGGAAAAAATAATTGCTCCAAATTTTTTTACAGAAACTAAAACATTTACCTGACATATTCTGAAAAATAATCTGTTTTGTGACCGTCCTAAAATTTTGTAGCTCCTCCATTTGAAAAATTACAGTGGATATTTCGAAGAGCCAACTTTAAGAAATGCAGTAAACTATTTTTGTAACTAAAACACTTATGATAAACTAATTGCTTTTTGTGTTCCTGACCACATACTACTTTATGGAACAAGTTTTTTATGGATAACAACTTCTTTATTTCGTGAGTGCGACGTTTCGATACAGATTCTTGTACGTTGCAAGACATCGGTACAAGACGTCTAACTCACTCTAAATAAAGAAGTTGTTATCCATAAAAACTTGTTCCATATTGTACGTCTCAACTTCTAAAAATGCCACTCAAACAAGTCACATACTACTTCTATAGTTGAAATACATATAATCAACTATGGTCATACGAAAGTAAAAGTAATGGTCCCTTGCATTCTTTATAACCTTTGGGTGGTGGGGTAGCCTTTTGGTTAAGAGTTTTATTCCCCACATGGTTTTACACCACTTTAGCAATATTCCAGCAATATCGCAACGGGGGACACCAGAAATGGGCTTCACACATTGTACTCATGTGGAGAATCGATCCTGTGTCTTCGGCAAGACGAGACAATGCTTTAACCACTATGCCACCTCAGCACCCCATTGTGTTAGAGCTTGTTTCAAGTACATTACCTCCTGTAATGGCAGTGAAGGTAGCATTAAATCCTGTGCCGGCAACGCTGGAGTCACTCTTGAATCGGACAAACATGGTGTTGCCGGTGGTTGTGACAATCTGCGCTGTTGTTTGGGTGTGGCACAACTGAGTCAGTCGAGCAGCAGAGTCATCAGGGCCCCCATATACCTGGAACATGGTCATTAGAATTTCTACTGGATGTTGTATGTTATTAGGTTCCTATTGTTCTTTTGATTGTTTTACACCTGGAACATGGTCATTAGAATTTCTACTGGATGTTGTATGTTATTAGGTTCCTATTGTTCTTTTGATTGTTTTACACCTGGAATGTGGTCATTATAATTTCTACTGGATGTTGTATGTTATTAGGTTCCTATTGTTCTTTTGATTGTTTTACACCTAGAATGTGGTCATTAGAAATTCTACTGGATGTTGTATGTTATTAGGTTCCTATTGTTCTTTTGATTGTTTTACACCTGGAACATGGTCATTAGAAATTCTACTGGATGTTGTATGTTATTAGGTTCCTATTGTTCTTTTGATTGTTTTACACCTAGAATGTGGTCATTGGAATTTCTACTGCATGTTGTGTTTTATCAGGTTCCTATCGTTCTTTTGATTGTTTTACACCTAGAATGTGGTCATTAGAATTTCTACTGGATCTTGTATGTTCTTAGATTCCTATTGATTGTGTGATTGTCTTACCCGTAGTACATCATTTTAATGTCACACATCGAAGGCATGGATAAAATTATTGCGTCCCTAGGAAAACACATTCACACTATAAGACATTGTAACAAGTTCTTTACTCACAAATATCCCACCTCTAAGATATAACAAATCCTTATCTTAAGGACAGTGTCACAAATAACATCTCAAAGACATCTTAACAAGTCATCACCTCAAGAACATCATAAAAACTCAAGGACATCTTAACAAGTTCTCACCCCTAGGATATCAATACAAATCTCAACTTAAGGACAACCTAACAAGTTCTCGTCCCAAGGACAACTTAACAAGTTCTCACCTCAAGGATATAACAACTCAAGGACAACTTAACATGCTATCCCTTCATGGATATCAATACATATCTCAACTTAAGGACAACCTAACACGTTCTCACCTCAAGGATATAACAACTCAAGGACAACTTAACATGTTCTCACTTCATGGATATCATAACAAATCTCAACTTAGGGACAACTTAACAAGTTCTCACCTCAAGGATATAACAACTCAAGGACAACTTAACATGTTCTCACTTCATGGATGTCATAACAAATCTCAACAGCTTAACGAGTTCTTACATCTGGGATATCATAAAATCGCAACTCAAGGACAACTTAACAAGTTCTCACCTGTAAGATGTCACACCTCAAGGACAACTTAACATGTTCTCACCTCTAGGACATCAAAACGGCACTGTGAGTGAGACTCAAGGTCAAATGGAGAGATGGTGAGCTGCACAGCACTTCCTGTGGGTACACTGATTCTCCACTCACACTGGCGCCGGTGGGGGTAAGGGTTGGGAAAGTTTGGACTTGAGAATGTACCTGATGTTCCCGTCAAGTCACCACCACAACCTAAAGAGAAGGGTTTCATGATCAAACTTCCCTTAAGGCCAGCATTTAATTACCAGCTACTTCCTGCATCTTGTACCTGATTAGTAAGTGGGTAGGTGAGTCAGTCAGACAGCTTAGGTAAATGCCAATTTCAACAGTTTTACAGTTCTAGTGTCTGCTTAAAGCTTACATGCAATGCAAAACACAACTTTGCAGATTCTGATACCTTTCAGTATGGACTTACAGTAACAAATTATCCAAAATGCAAATTCAACTTATTGAATTCTTAACGCGATAAAAAAATCCCGTGAAATTGGAGTTCAAACAATTCACTAAAAAAAAAAACAGCTGGGGTGAAAAGTGGTTTGAACAGCTGTGCTGCGCTGCGCACATAGCACATGACTGGGTTCGGTATCCCGGGTGCTTTGTTTCGAGGGTAGTATACCCAAGTACAAAATATTGCACTTTTGATTTGCAATTGCACGTTTATAATTTATTTTTATTTTTTTCATAATCAGCAATGTATATTATATGTCATGACTAAATGATTACTGTGTTTTAATTATGTTTATTTTGTTGGTTGCATCTAAGCTTTAACGTGGGAGAAAAGCGAAAAATTGTGCCATTCTTTGACATCAACCATTCTGTCGAAATCCACTAGCATAGGGATAGTGCTGACAAACCTGGAATCTTAACAGGAGCAAGCTGGGATTTGAACCAACAATGATAGGTTTCATGCATCCCCAAGGTACACAACTCTGCAAGGGTGTAGACAACTGGCCACCCTGTATCCCATTTGATGATGACTTGAGAAACCTCCCCAAAATCAATTGAAATGGAATTCCAAATGATTTGAACTCATTTTTGGTAGTTATTAAGCAGTATCACTTTTGATTTGAAGCTTTATACCACATAAGAGACTGAACCATTGCAATAAGCTTCACGAATTTGCTCTTTAACCACCAGCTAAACCACAATCTTCTCTGATTATGTTAAGTCTTCCAAGGAAATGTTGCAATTCCTCTTGGTCCCATTTGTAGATGGTATTTTGCTATTTGATGAAATCTGAAAGTATGTTTCCTATTTTACCAAATACTCATCTCTTCTTACCATCTGTCAGCCACTGAAGGCGGAAACCATTCCTTGCAACAGACGAATCAGACAAAAAGTTGATCCAGAGACTGCTTCCTGTAGAGGCAATTGCCTGCGGCAAACTCGACCCACAATATGTTCCAATAGGATCATCAGATGGAGCATCACCATCACGGATCTGGAAATCATAGGAAAGATATTACCTCTGGGGGTGAAATCGGTCCCTGGACTGGATCATATTTTGATCCCCTGTATCCCCTCAACAATATATGCAACGTATTTTCACCTACCTCTCCACTACAACACATGACCAATCCCTAATGAACGTATAAATTCATTTTTCTTTGAAATATTATAACTGTCACTTTATTATGGAATGCAACATTAGAACTGATAAATGTCAGATCCTGGTTTGCCTAAGGGATAAAAAACACCTACAGAATACCGGATACAAACCAGCCATATTGTTTAGTATCACATCACCCTAACCCTAATGCTAACCCTAAACTTTACCCTAACCATAAACCTAAACCTAAACCAAACCCAAAACAAAAGTAAACTTGCGTGCTTTCAAAGATCCAGGTATCCAGTATTCTGTAATCTTACCCCTTAGCCTACTGTGCCATCTCTACCTCCTTAAAACTCACCTGAAGATAGTCATAATTGCATGATGAGTGAGATTCAATGTCAAAGTTGGTAAAGGAGACGTTGATGGTGTTGCCAAGAGTGGTGTCAATGATCCAGGTACAGTTCCGGCTGTGGGGGTATGGGTTTGGGAAGTTTGGACTCTCAATGACCCCACTGAACGCAGACAATCGGTTGTTGCAAGCTGAATTACAATGATTTTATTAAGAAACATTTCTAATTTTTGCAGAATATATAAAAAATAAATTACATATTAAGAAATAGAATGTTTCTGATATTAAAATAAGTTCTTATATACTCATGCCAATAATGGTTGTCACCCCCCTCCCCACCCCAACCCACACCCCCTCTCCAATTAAAAGGATTGAAGGGGGTGACAACCATTATTGGCATGAGTATATATTCTTACAAAATCACTTCAGTGACTTAATAAGGTAAAATATTAAAACTAGTCTTGTTATTGCCTTCTTGATTGAATCTTTTTTTAAAACTTTTTTATCAGTAAAGAAGGAACACAAGCATTAATACAGATCACAATGAATTTTGCATCATGTAGGATAAAACACAAAAGAGTGTGTTAACTCTTATAAAATAACATGAAATCCTTAGTGCATTAAATGCAGAAGAAAAACAACGCATGTATGAAAAAAAGGAATTTAAGAGCAGAAGCATGAGGATGTAATTGTGAAATCAGGAGACATAATATAACACCATCTCACATGTTGAATAAACAGCTTGGAAACCACGGCCTGCCACAGAGAAATCGGTTCTGTACTTGATCCAAATTGTGTTGTTTGTGGATATGACTGGGTTGGGGATGGTGTTGCCACAGAGTTTGGCTAGTTGGTTGCCCCCGGAGTCCCCATCACGGACCTACAACACAGATAGGGTGAGATGGTAGCAATGGTGGTGGTGACGATGACGACAACGGCAACAACGATGATGATGATTTGGAGATTACATGTGTGCTTTCTGACATGATGTGTATTTTGCACAAGGTAAGCTTACGGTGAAAAAAAATAATGCAATGTTAGAAGGTTGAGACAGGTGAGAATGTGAGAGGGTGCGTAAGAAGAGAAGTAAGAATTTGGGCAGGGTGAGTTTGGTGGGAGGGTGAGTAAGATGAGAAGAGAGAGGGTGAGAAGGGCAAGAAGGTGAGAGGTGATGGGGTAAAAAGTGTAAATAAAAGAGGAAGGTGAAAAAACTGAGAGCGAGAGAAGATAATCTGAGTGAGAGGAGGGTGAGAGGGTGACTTTAGTGAGCAAACAGAAGTGTGAGAGGGTGACAGGGTGACAATGCTTGAAGGGGAGAATATGACAATGAAGGCTATGAAGGTCAGAGAGAGTACATGGGTGAGAGAATAAAAGAGTGAGAGTTAGCGAGTGAGTGAGTATAATATAAATTTGCCCTGGCATTATTTCAGCCATGCAGTGAGAAGAACAAGTTTTAATATCTTCCAGGGTGAGGAAGTAAAAGGGTGAGAGGGTGTTTGTTATAGATGGACGCAGACACACAGATTCATTCGTCAAAAGTTCAAACTAAAATTACCAGAACATAGTCGAAACTGCATGTGGTGTGAGACTCAATGTCAAAGTCTGTAAAGGTCAAGGCTATTGTGCTTCCCCGAGAGGTGGTCACTGTCCAGAAGCATTCAGCATTGTGTCCGTATGGCATCGGGTAATTTGGGGATATGAAGCTACCAGTAGGAGTTGTTAGATCAGCACCGCAACCTGCAAATGGCAACAGATGAAAATCTCTGAAAATCTGGAACCATTACAACAATGATGTCCCCATTCAAATCTAGTTTGTGAAAGTCTGGAACCATTACAACAAGATGTCCCAATTCAAATCTATTTTGTGAAACTCTGGAACCATTACAAGATGACCCATTCAAATCTATTCTCTAAAACTCTGGAACCATTACAACAAGATGTCCCCATTCAAATCTATTCTGTGAAACTCTGGAACCATTACAACAAGATGTCCCCATTCAAATCTATTCTGTGAAACTGTTAAACCATTACAAGATGTCCCCATTCATATCTATTTTGTGAAACTCTGGAACCATTACAACAAGATGTCCCCATTCAAATCTATTCTCTGAAACTCTGGAACCATTACAACAAGATGTCCCCATTCAAATCTATTCTGTGAAACTCTGGAACCATTACAACAAGATGTCCCCATTCAAATCTATTCTGTGAAACTCTGGAACCATTACAACAAGATGTCCCCATTCAAATCTATTCTGTGAAACTCTGGAACCATTACAACAAGATGTCCCCATTCAAATCTATTCTGTGAAACTCTGGAACCATTACAAGAAGATGTCCCCATTCAAATCTATTCTGTGAAACTCTGGAACCATTACAACAAGATGTCCCCATTCAAATCTATTCTGTGAAACTCTGGAACCATTACAACAAGATGTCCCCATTCAAATCTATTCTGTGAAACTCTGGAACCATTACAAGATGTCCCCATTCAAATCTATTCTGTGAAACTGTTAAACCATTACAAGATGTCCCCATTCAAATCTATTCTGTGAAACTGTTAAACCATTACAAGATGTCCCCATTCATATCTATTTTGTGAAACTCTGGAACCATTACAACAAGATGTCCCCATTCAAATCTATTCTGTGAAACTCTGGAACCATTACAACAAGATGTCCCCATTCAAATCTATTCTGTGAAACTCTGGAACCATTACAAGAAGATGTCCCCATTCAAATCTATTCTCTAAAACTCTGGAACCATTACAACAAGATGTCCCCATTCAAATCTATTCTCTGAAACTCTGGAACCATTACAACAAGATGTCCCCATTCAAATCTATTCTGTGAAACTCTGGAACCATTACAAGAAGATGTCCCCATTCATATCTATTTTGTGAAACTCTGGAACCATTACAACAAGATGTCCCCATTCAAATCTATTCTCTAAAACTCTGGAACCATTACAAGAAGATGTCCCCATTCAAATCTATTCTGTGAAACTCTGGAACTATTACAGCAAGATGTCCCCATTCAAATCTATTCTATGACACATCAGTACTATTACATCTCCATGTTAAACTATCCTGTGACTGATTACAGCAGAGATTTCAAAGATTATGGCAATGGTTGAGCCAGTTTCAATGACTGCAGGAGGCAGCGACAAACCTGTAGCAGTTCCATCAGTAGGAAATCCTGAAGCCTCGAGCAGAGAAAGACACATCAGATTTAAACTTGATGTACATCTGGTTGCTATGAGACACAATGTTGGGAGGTGTTGTTGAGCCACAGTACTTGCCAGCCAGAGGAGAGGTGCTGTACCCTCCATTTCTGTAACAAATCAAGTGTCTTGTTAAGACAATGCATAATTATTGGAGCAGTAACCTAAGATGAATAAGCCAAGGACTCCCCAATCTAAATCTCTGAAGGACTAATAGTAAGTGAATGAGTGAGATTGGTCTTACGCCGCTTTTAGCAATATTCCAGCAATATCACAGTAGGGAAAACCAGAATGGGCTTCACACATTGTACCCATGTGGGGAATTGAACCCAGGTCTTTGGTGTCACCTGTGAACGCTTTACCCACAAGGCCACCCCACCGCTCCCGAAGGACTAACACCTTAGGTTTCATTCGTGACCAACTCGTGTTATTCCGGGACAAGCCGAATAGCGACCAACTTGTGTTATTCCGGGACAAGCCGAATAGCGACTCGTGCCCCTCTAGAAGGATTTCATATTGGCGTATGAACATCAGAACTACTTTAAACAAGAACGTTAACTGTATCCCTGTTTGATTCCAATGTTTCTAAAAATCACCGAAGCACATGTACATTGCATTGCTAGATTGTTGTTTTTGTTTTTGTTTTACTTATTTATTTTAAAGAATTAAACCTATTTGATACAACTAAAAGAAGGAGAAAAACATATTTGTTAAAGACATATTCTAATGTAATTATTACCAGCTGTTCACTTTATATTTCCAATTATGTTAATTTTCTTAATAGGGTTTAATCATCACAATGGGAATTGTTTTATTGAATATACAACAAAACATTCAGCTACAAATTCCAAAGCAGATACTTAAAAATGAATTTAAAATATTTCTCAAACTGAACATTCGTGTAACCTTGCTGTCACACCCCTGGTGGAATTTCAAATGAATTCGCTGAAAAAAATATATGAATGACCAAAACACAGTCAGACTAAAATATCCCCAGAGCTATGAAATATAAGCCCAATGTTAAATATTAAGATTGATTAGTTACATACAAATACGATATTGTTCTTTTGAAACTCGTAGCGATTATAATTACATTTCCTAAAATTTGGTCGAAGCGCACGTACAATATCCATAACAAGCCTGCAAGATCGTCAGAAACACAATCAGTTGCACCCATGAGAGCAGTTATGCCAACAAACGCATGTGCGTGTATTTGAATCTCTCACCATCAATTGCATGATTCTTATTAAAAACTTCATAATAGGCAGAAAAATCCTTTTAGCTACGTTCTTTGTACTTTCAATATGGCGATATATATTTTTAATGATTCTTTAAACAATGACATAATGCCATAAACAATTTAAGTACTCGGGATTATTTTTATCAAAGCACCGCGCTCATTTACGCGCGTTCTGATTGGTTTTGTCGTATTTTCGCATATAACAAGCATAGAGAGGGGGACGAGTCTTCTTTGAGGTTACGGAAAGGGGCGAGTGGTGACAAATGCTTAGGTTTCTCAACACTAGGAATTTCCACTCCAAATCTTGGTCTCTCTAGAAATAACACTTCAGGTCTACCTGCTCTAGATCTCCCAAGAAACAACAGTTTAGGAATTTCCACTCTAGTACAGTTGACCTGTGGTTTACCAAAATATAAATATACATTGATATATTGAGACCTGTGTAGATCCGGGTTAGAATTGGTCTTCAGCAGCCTATGCTTGTCATAAGAAGTGACAACAGAATCAGGTGGTCAGGCTCACTGACTTGGTTGACTCATGTCATCGGTTCCCAGTTGTGTGTTTTACCAAAATATAAACATACATTGATATATTGAGACCTGTGAAGATCCGGGTTAGAATTGGTCTTCAGCAGCCCATGCTTGTCGTAAGAGGCAACTAAGGGGATCATGTGGTCAGACTTGCTGACTTGGTTGACACATCGTATCCTAATCGCAAATGCTGTTATCACTGGATTGTCTGTTTCAGACAAGATTATATAGAGACCACTGCATATTGCGGAAATATTGCAGAGTGCAGCATTAAAAATGCCCACCCCCAAACACTGTGGCTATAGTGTGGCCTTTGTACCTGATTTCAACATAGTCAAAGTTGCAGTTTTGATGGTATTCCATGCTGAAGTCCGTGAAGTTGAGGAGAATCTGGTTTCCGGAAGGCACTGTGATCGTCCATACACATTCCCGCTGGTGAGGGTAGTTATTAGGGTAGTTAGGGCTGGTCACAACACCAGTCATGGTCGTCAATGCTGATCCACATACTGTTATAACAGATGATGAACAAATTTGCAAATGTAGCCATCAAATACTCAATTCTAATATCTTCTCTCTATCCATATATCATTATATTGGAAACTGCAAGGGTGTCTCCGTTTAGTGAGTGAGTTTGCTTTTACGCCACTTTTAGCAATATTCGAGCCATATCATGACAGGGGACACATGAAATGAGCTTCACCCATTGTACCCATGTGGGGAATTGAACCCGGGTCTTCGGCGTGATGAGCGAACATTTTAACCACTAGGCTACCCCACTGCCCCCTTGTCTCCTTTTCAACATCTCAAGTTTTTCTGTAGGAAATATCAGATTTAACCTACTTGCATCTGAAACATTGCACATTATGATAGTTTGTTGTGAGTCTTGCTAATCAGTTGCCAGGTTACATCATTTCCTGACTTCTATACCATTTTACAAACTCTGCTCAGCTGGACAGTGGCCTTAAGCATAGAGAGAGGTGAACATGCCAGAGAATGCTTCATCGGCAATGCTACTGTTTCAGTTTGAGAGGCACACATTCTCATTAGTTTAGCCCTGGTCTACTCACAAGCTGAGGGGGTGAGTGAGTTTAGCTTTATGCCACACTCAGCAATATTCCAGCTATATGGCGGAGGTCTGTAAATAATCGTGTCTGGACCTGAAAATCCAGTGATCAACAGCATGGGCATCGATCTGCGCGATTGGGAACCAATGGCATGTGTCAATCAAGCCAGCGAGCTTGACCACCTGATCCCGTTAGTCGCCTCTTACGACAAGCATGGGTTACTGAAGGTACATTCTAACCCGGACCTTCACGGGTCCTCACAAGCTGAAGCATTGAGAGACACACAAGCTCTTTCAGTGACCCTGGTCTACTCACTTGTTGAAGCATTGAGAGTGGTGTAAGAGGCAGTGAATCCTTCATGGGCAATGCTGCTGTCTGATCTAAACACCACCGTCATCACATTATCGGTGGAAGTCTGCACAGGCGGGGTGGTGGAGCCACAGTACCTAGGGGAGACAACTCAACCATAAGATGAAAACAACTCTCATTTGCAGAAGTGAAAGGATTTCAATCTCGAACTCTTCATGTCACTAGATTGTACTTATGATCTGGTATATTCTATTCCATATTAAGCCAAGCTTAAAGATCAACGTCATAATCAGTGTTAGATATTGGCAATGCTTCGTGAAGGTGGTAAACTCGCCACCCAAAACCCCATCCAACCAACCAACCAACCAACCACCCACCAACAATAATAACTAACCAGCCACCCACCCAACCAACCAACCACCAACCCACCCACCCAACCAAACAGCCACCCACCACTCCAACCAACCAACCAGCCGCCCAATCATCCAACCAAACAAATAGCAACCAGCCAAATAACTTGCCAGCCAGCCAGCCAGCCAGCCACCCAACCACTCAACCAACCTTCCAAGCTGACTGCCGCTATTGATGGTGGAGTTGTCGTAAACTGTCACACTATCAAAAGCACATCTTGAATGGGCCTCCAGACTGAAGGCACCAAAGCGAAGTCTGATGACCAATCCCGCTGGCACGGAGATGATCCAGGTGCAGTTGGCACCATGTGGGTACACATTTGGATGTCCAGGGCTCTGGAACTGTCCAGTGGTGCCTGTCAGAACCAGTCCACAACCTACAGAACATAAACTCTTGACATTATCTCAGATATACCTATCATTAAATATTCAAGTCTGGACCAGACAATCCCGTGATCAACTTCAGAAATGAGTAATCTAGATTTACCAACTGCATATTCTGTATTGTATATATGTAAGTCTAATAAAATGATAAGATGAGGACAATGGAAAAAATGCTACATGGTATTTGAAGAAAATCTGAACTATCTGGAACCATACCACTAAAAAAGTTAAAGACCCCCAAATCCGTTTATATTACAATAGTTATACTGTTCAAAATATGTACTGGGCCACCTGTTACAGTAAATCTGTAATGAGATCATGCCATTACGGATTAGCTGTAACAGGTGGTCCTGTACATATTTTGAGCATTATTGTATTCCAAGTATGAATCAAAGTATTATGAACCATGTGAGTGAGTGAGTGAGTGAGTTTTATCTTATGCCGCTTTTAGCAATATTCCAGCAATATCACGGCGAGGGACACCTGAAATGGGCTTCACACATTGTACCCACGTGGGGAATTGAACATGGGTCTTCGGTGTGACAAGCGAAGGCTTTAACCACTAGGCTACCCCTCCACCTCTTTGTACCATGTACACTGAATAGGTCACATCTGACATCCATCGTCAAAGTTGCACATGAACTCTCTTAATTTGAAATACCTTCTAATAAATGACTTTTCCAGTCTGGTTCTAGACACATCATGCACAAAACTCAGTCACTGTCTAAACTGCCCCCAATAATGAACCTTTTAGACAAAGAAAGTGGTGTTCAAATGAATTAAATCCAGACAGCTGGAACTGTTTAGATTAGCCTAGTCCAGATTAAACATGTTTTTTTTTGTGTTTGTTATCTAACTCCAGACTCAGCCCTCTGTAAATGATCAAATCTGGACCAGAAAATCCAGTGATTGACATCATAAGCATCAATCTACTTAACTGGGATACAATGACAAGTATCAACCAAGTCAGCAAGCCTGTCCACCTGGAGATGGACCCTCCATGGGATGGTGAAGACCAATTCTGACCCTTCAAAGGCAGTTTTTTAATATTTATGATCCACAAGTATTCTTATCAGAATATTTTGTCAGCATGCAGCTTGTCTGGTACTTTGGTTAACTTTAGTTAACTCTGGTTAACTTTGGTTTCAGTTAACAGTGTGTCTTAATGGTCCCCAGCTGATCTTGTACATCTCTGTCAATGATGAGTTACAAACCTTCCTCCGATGCATAGGTTGCTTGGAAACCAGTGTTGGACACAGAGCCATCTGTCTTGAACTTGATCCACATCTGGTTCTGGCTGGACGCCTGCACTGCTGGCAGCTGAGAGCCACAGGACCGAGACAGGAGCGGCGCTGAAGACGTACCGCCATCACGGACCTGTACACACCACAGATGGTACACTTTATACAGATAGAGCACACACAAGAACATACGGCCAATACCAAGATGATAGATCAGTGGATGCTGTGGTCAGACAGAGGATGAACTGACTGATGATAGGTAAGTACAAAAACAGTCATGGAAGACTGGCTAAAGATACCTATACAGATGATTGGACAGCAGAAGGCTAGATAGGCGACATTGGCAACAGGCTTGATGGATGACATTGGCAACAGGCTAGATAGATGACATTGGCAACAGAATGCTAGATAGATGACATTGGCAACAGAAGGCAAGGTATAAAATAGTTGACATTAACACTAGAAGGCTAGATACCTGACATTGGCAACAGTAATCTAAATAGGCGATGTTGGAAATAGTATGAGAAAAGATGACATTATTTCTTCAGTTCTAATGATGTTGTACTTTTGACCATCAGTGTATAAATTTGGCATAGAACTGAGGCCACTTGAGAAACAGTAAGACAAATCTTAAGAATAAAGAATAGATAATACTCAACAAAAACCCAATGCATCTCATAAAATCAGCCTCCATACAAACCTCTAGATAATCAAAGATACACTGTGATCCTGAGTTGCCCTCAAGGGCAAATGCTGAGAAGGTCAAGGTGATTCGGTTGTTGGAGGGCTGGTTGATAATGTAGATGCATTCCTTGTTGTGAGGGTAAGCATTTGGGAAGGAAGGAGACATTAGTGTTCCAGTAGGCTCTGTGAAGGTTCCGCCGCAAGCTAAAAACAATTCAATTTTATAATTACAAAAGGAGTACATACAGAAACCTGTCGTTTTTGGGTAACCTGGTAATTAAAGCTTTCACTCATTAGGCTGAAGACCCAGGTGGTCGTGAAGAAACTTAGTCACATTGTCCTGAAGAAACATAGTCAAGTTGTGGTGAAGACAAATGGTCAAGAAGAAGAAAATTAGTCAAGTAGCTATGAAGAAGATTTTATCTAGTGGTCGTGAAAAAAAACTTAGTCAAGAAGTCCTGAAGAAAAATAGTAAAGCAGTCATGAAGAAACTTATAGTTCAATGTCAATAAAATTAAAGCATTTTTCATAACAGTTAGGCCAGACCAATTTAATTTCTTGTTTTATGGATTGTTGTCCTCAGAAAACCTAAAGGCAGGAGGGGAATTTAAATATATATAAATAAATTTATACTAAAAGTATTTTTCTTTTGGCAATTTATGAAGTGTATATGGGGCAAAACACAATCTAAAAAAAAATTTCTTGTAAATTTACAGGTTTGACTTTCTGTTTTTTTCTTATTCTTGCAAAAATATGACAGGTGGATCCATGAAAGAAATAAAATTGGTCTGGCCTTATCAGGGAAATATGAAAACCTTCTTTTGTTCATTATTGTAATTTACCCAAGAAAAAATGGAGTGTCATGTCTTACCATGTTTTGCTTACCATTTCATACTTTGCCCTTATTTGCCCATTGGAATATTTTTCTGTGAACAGTGGGAATATTTTTCTGGCGTTTGTTTTATATTCACATCCTGGTCTGAAATTCTATAAGGGGGCACTTATTTTGGTGAATAGCATAAATTCAAAGCATTCATCATCCCCCCATCTACTAAGTCACTCACTCATTCACTCACTCACCCACTGTCCAGGATGCTTGGAATCCTCCTCCCCTGATTGAAGAGTCAGATCTGAAGTAGACATACATTGTGTTGCCTGTAGATCTGACAGGGGCCGGTGAGTCACTGCCACAATATCGTCCCAACAGGGTGGCCGTCTGATCGGAACCATCTCGCACCTACAGAAACAGGGCAGAGGATGAACTGCATATTTGTGCAAACTACGAAAAATATATATCGCCATTACTCTCCAACCTATGGAAAATGAGCAGAAGAATTATTCCTATGGAACAGTTTGCCCATTATAAATTTACCTGGTCAATATCCTGGTTTAGGAATATCGATTCATTCCCTGTTTCGGGTACTGGGCACATTTCTGTTTTATGATTTTGTTTAAGGTACATTTCTGCATACAGAAACGTAACTGGGGTACATATGTGTAGTACCTGTGCCGACAACAACCCTTTCAGTTTGTAAGTCTGGACTTCTTCTGATTGTTATCCCACTGAGATGCTAGTTTAACATGTACACCAGTCAGACACGTAACTCACCCAGAGCTGACCATTCTTTGATATATAAGATCAAGTCAGGGATCTACGGGACATGAATTCCTGCGTCCTATATGCATAAAAATTGATGATGGACACTACAAAATTTATAAGCGCATCCACAGGGATGCAGAACAAGTTCAAATACTTTTTGTAAAAATTCCAATCAAGTAACAACAAGTTATCAAAGAGTTTGCTACTAGCTGCATTATGGCATCATTTGCAATTCAATTACTGTAACAATTAATGTGATGATCATGATACACAATACAATAACAGTATTAAAAATAATATTTAAGTGTCTGGGACCCCCATTTTGCTGTCCAGGAATCCTGAAAATTAACAGTATGAGTCCCGGGGACCCTAAAAAACTGGACTTAAGGTAAATCCCTGATCAAGCTCTGTAATGTTTCTTCATACGAAGGTGGCCAGGGACTTAAACTAATGACCTTCCACTTTCCAGCCAGACACACTTTCCACTACACCATGGCAATGCTTCATCAAAGTTAACATTCTCAGAAATATCCCAAGCAAATAAAGGCTACTTACCTCCACTCTGTCCCATTGGCAAGAGCTCGCAGTTTCAAGGTCAAACGCACTGAAGGTCAGGGATATAATGTCCCCAGTGTGGACCGTTATCAACCAGGCACATTGTGCATTATGGGTGTATGGCTGTGGGTAGTTTGGTGATTGGATAGTCCCTTCGTCAGTTGTGTAGGATCCTCCACATGGTCCTTAATACAACAAAGTTGCATGTTTAAATGACTGACTGAGTTTTGGTTTAACGCCGCTTTTAGGAATATTCCAGCAACATCACGGCGGGGAACAACAGAAATGGGCTTCACACATTGTACCCATGTGGGGATTCAAACCCGGGTCCTCGGCGTGACTAGCCAACACTTTAACCACTAGGCTACCCCACCGCCCCCCCATGTTTAAATGATAAGGTTTAACATCACTTTCAAGGTTCTTGCATTTATATAATGAGGTGCATGCAGGTGTGTGTGTGTGCTTATGTCAGGGCTCAATTTAAGAAAGGTTAACCTACTTGCACCATGTGCAACCTAAGATAAAAACCTAGTTGCACCAGCCAGATTCCAGTTGCAATGTAGTGTGTTAAAACGTCAGAGGTTAGCTGAAACGTGTATATGAATAGCAATATTTCAGTGCCATAGCTATTCAAAGTTTAAAAGAAAAATGAGCTGACATATTTATGCTTGTAATGTTAGATCTATTGTTGATTTATTTCTCAAAAATTGACTTTGCACCTTGTGCAAGTTAGACTCATAACGAGGTTGCACTTTGTAATATTGCGTTGCATCAGTGCAAGTAACAAAGCACTAAATCGAGCCCTGTTATGAGTATGTGTATGTGTGTTTGCCAGTGTTTCAGCTTATACTGATGGATGGATGGATGGATGGATGGATGGATGGATGGATGGATGGATGGATGGATGGATGGATGGATGGATGGATGGATGGATGCTGGCTGGCTGGCTGGCTGGGTGGATGTCGCACTCAGCAATATTCCAGCTATATGGAAGCGGTCCGTACATAATCAAGCCTCAACCAGACAATCCAGTGATCAAAGGCATGAGCATCAATCTATGCAATTGGGATACAATGACATGTGTCAACCAAGTCAGTGAGCCTGACCACCCTGATCTTCACGGGTGATGACATGAAGTATTATCCTCACCATCAATGGTGGCGTAAGTTATATGGAAGCCACTGTCACTCAGGGATTGATCAGAGTGGAACATAATCCATGCGGCATTGCCCGTTGTTCGTACAGGGGCAGGGCTTGTTGTACTGCAGTACCGGTTCAGTAGGGGCGATGAATCCAACTGCCCATCTCGGAGCTGAAGCAGAGACAGATAATTTCATAAATATTTTCCAAACTCGAACAAAACTATCATAACAAAATTAAAATATATTCCAAAAGAGGTTTGGAAATGTCACTCTGTGTCAGTGGGGACATGGATAGTGCTGAGAAGAGTTGCCTCCCTTAGGTATGATGGATTTTCTGACTGTGGGTTTGAATCCCCATTTCACCTGATCATATTTCAAGCTTTGTAAGTTCCATACATTTGTTGGTGGGGTGCACCTAAACCCAAAGTGATAAATGTGAAAGATTTCCATCACTTCAGGATTTCATCCCTCATTTGACCTGATTTTGTTTCTAGCTTTGTCAGCACAACCATTTGTTGGTTTGGATACACCAAAACCCAAAGTTCATCATGTTGGGCTTAATCCCTCGTCAACTAGACATGCCATAATATTAATTACTCATTCACAAAATGGGTTTCAAAATACTTCATATGTATTTTCTCCATAATCAGCAATAACTTTTAGAAAGTGGTCAAATGTAACATATGTTATATATGGGAGAACACTTTCTCATTGAAGTACAGATTCTAGTACTTAAGGGTTTGCTCCCCAATATCATGAAAATGTCAACATTTAGTTATTTAGTAAGGTAGGTATATTTCACATCCCTTTTGGAAGTAGTGCAGCATCTTCACAGGGGCCGGTGCTGTAGCCTAGTGGTTCAAGCGTTCGCTCGTCACGCCAAAGACCCAGGTTTGATTCCCCACATGGGTACAATGTGTTAAGCCCATTTCTGGTGTCTCCCGCCGTGATATTGCTGGAATATTGCTAAAACCGGCATAAAACTAAACTCATTCACTCACTCTTCACAGGGGGATACCGAAAATGGGCTTAAAAATGAACATTTGCAGGGCAGGGAATTGACCCTGGGCCTTGGATGTCATTTGCAAAACACTTAAACCACGAGGCTACCCCACCACCCCCAGTGTAAGTGTAAGTATTAAGATAGGGGAAGTGAGTAAGTGAGCAAGTAAGGCTTTACGAAAATATTCCAGCAACATCAAACTGGTGGACACCAGATATGAGCTTCACACATTGTACCCATGTGGGGAATCGAACCTGGGTTTCAGTGACTGACTGACCGACTGAGTATGGTTTTACACCGCATTTAGCAATATTCCAACAATATCACGGCGGGGGACACCAGAAATGGGCTTCACACACTGTAGGGTTTCAGTGAAATGAGCAGATGCTTTAATCACTACCACACCACCCATAGATGAATGTGTTCCAAATCATGCCACAAATATAGATCAATCATTAATCTGAAGTTCTTAATATTCTAAGAATACATGCTGGATGTAGATTCCTATCGGAATTGCCTGATAATGTTGCACACACATACCTCTAAGTAATCATAGCTACAGTTGGGATGTGTTTCAAGGGCAAGAGTAGCGAAAGTGAAGATGATCCTTTTAGCAGGAGCTACTTCAACGGTCCACACACAGTCTCGGTTGTGAGGGTAGTTGCCAGGGTAACCAGGGCTGTTTACTGTGCCAAACGATGTTGTCAATTCACCACCACAAACTGGAAAAATAAAGTTTTAAAATATAATATTTTGGCCAAGAATTACAATTCAGCACATTCTTCCAAATATTTTTCATCATTAATAGCAGTTTGTTTTATTTAATATTTCGTGTGTACATCCTCAGTTATCACATCAATGAGGACCAATCACCATTGAGGAATTTCTTCAGTGTGACATAGTTAACCAGAATCACCAGCACAAAGTGATCTTCATGTTAAGTCTGTCTTTAGTCTACATTACAGTATGGGAGTTACGATCATTGTACTTCTAAAATCGTTTTAAGATGAGCAAGTGCCAAGATATGTGAAGATTTATGACAATTTCCTTGTGGTTATGAGTGAGTGAGTGAGTGGGTCTAGTTTTACGCTGCACTTAGGAATATTCCAGCTATATAGCAAATAATCTAGTCTGGACCAGACAATCAAGCGATCAACAGCATGAGCATCAATCAAAGCTATTGGGATATGATGACATGTGTCAGCCAGGTCAGCAAGCCTGACCACCCGTTCACCTCTTACAACAAGCATGGGTTACTGAAGACCAATATTCTAACACGGATCTTCACGGGTCATTGGTTATGAAAAGTGACTCATTGAAAAGAGATACAGATGATGATATCGAGGGAATCAGTTGTAACTGACGTGTGTACTACTCTATGTTAACCTTTTACGGCTGAATGACATTGACATTCAGACTGTTACTCTCCAAAACCATACTCTTTTAGTCGGATGACACATCCTCCTAACATGGCCTGTAATGAGATATCCTCATATTTTAGTTTAGCAGTAGTAAAAACAAAGATCTGATTCTGTCTTGTCGAATTATAGATGAATCTCTGGTCAAATGACTACCTGGATCATTGGTCGTCCAACTGACGGCGAATCCATCACCAGAGATGGAGGCATCGGAGTAGAACCACAGGTACACTTGGTTGCTGGTCGTGTTGAGAGTGCCTCCCCCTGGTGGACTGGTACCGCACCACTTGCCGAGCATGTGCGATGATGCTGTCGGTCCGTCATGTATTTGGAGGTAGTCGTAGTTGCAGGTACTGTGAGATTCCAGGTTGAAGGATGTGAAGGTCAGGGTCAAAATCTGAGTAAGAATGATAACAATGATAATTGTTGCTAACAACAGTACAATAGATTATAAAGATGATACTTATAACACAACTACAATAATGACAATATTACAACTAATACTGATACTACAATTAAATTAAGTATAATATGTATGTCTTTATGTCATAATGACTGATTACTACTGCTGCTACTACTACTATACGACTATGACTATGACTATAACTACTATTACTAATCTTTATCATAATTTCAATAAATGTAACATTTAACAAACGTTTGCATAGTCTCCTTATGAGTGAGTGAGTATGGTTTTACACCGCTTTTAGCAATATTCCAGCAATATCACGGCAGGGGACACCAGAAATGGACTTCACACATTGTACCCATGTGGTTAATCAAACCTGGGTGTTCAACATGACAAGCAGGCGCTTTAACCACTAGGCTTCCCCATCTCAACATGAGAATCCAAGCTTTACATATACAAACTGAAGGTGCACACTAGTACCTTCCTACCTGTATTATCTCTTATGTAAATATCTCTTTGGTAATTCACATGGATGACTACATTAAACAAATAATGTGCTTATGCTTTACAGATCTTCCTTCAAGAAATATTGCTTAATGAAAATACAATTAAAATGACTTTTTAAACTTTTTTGATGTTTTTAAATACTGATGACTTTCAAGATTTCAAGTACTACATTAAAAATTTAATATATATATATGAAATATCACTCAAATTAGTTTCTGTTGAAATGTGGATTCACTGCAAAATAAGAAATAGATTGTGACGTGTTCACCACAATGTTGAGTGAGTGAGTGAGTTTAGTTTTACGCCGCTTTTAGCAATATTCCAGCAATATCACGGCGGGGGACACCAGAAATGGGCTTAACACATTGTGCCCATGTGGGGAATCGAACCTGGGCCTTCGGCGTGACGAGCCAACGCTTTAACCACTAGGCTTCCCCACCGCCCCACCACAATGTTGAAGCAATGTTATGTTGACCAATAAGAGCTGCTGTCCTGTTACAAGACACATTTATCTATGCAGCCTTTCAGGCAGGACATTCAGGTACCTTGTGAGTGCAGTCAAGATTCTATTTTTCATCCAGTCAGTGGAATAAGGAAACCAAATTTGGTAAAGCAGCAAATAAAAATGGCTGTCACATTGTTCAGGGTTAAATGATTTGGATTCATTAAACAGGGGTGAGTAGGACTTTACGCTGCTTTTAGCAATATTCCAGCAATATCACGGCGGGGACACTAGAAATGGTCTTCACACATTGTACACATGTGGGGAATTGAACCCGGGTCTTCAGCATGACGAGTGGATGCTTTAACCACTAGGCTACCTCACCGCCCCTCATAGGACAGGCACAAATGTATCTGAGGAAGACACAAGGTGCACTCTCAATCCCCTTAAGGATGATTTCCCACCCATGCCTGTCAATGTATATATTACTTGGGTAGTGTACACCCCTTGCTTAAAAATCATCTGTAAGTGTCAATCTGTAATTACAGACTTTTCATTGGGAACAGCCACTGTGAACCTACCTTGTCCCGGGTTGTGGTGATGGTCCAGGCACAGTTTGCTCCATGTGGATACTGGGTACCAGTCTGGGTTGGGAATTGGAATGATCCTGATGTTCCTCGCAACGCTCCACCACAAGCTGCAGATGAATACATGAGATGTGTGACAAGTGTTTCAGAAATAGTTTGGACAGAGTGAGTGAGTGAGTTTAGTTTTACACTGCTTTTAGCAATATTCCAGCAATATCATGGCTTTCACCGTTACCAGAAATGGTCTTCACACATTGTTCCCATGTGGGGAATCAAACTTTAACGTTATTAGCGAATGCTTTAACCACTCAGCTACCCCAGCGAAACTATAACCATCTACACTGATAGTGACCCTGATTAGTCCAGAACTGAGAGAACTGACTGCATCATGTATAAACTTACTGCTCTGAGGTGTTTCACAGGTTGGTCCAGTATATGAGTTTGTGCATTGACAGCTGAAGGAACCCACGTTATTCACGCAGGTGCCTCCGTTTCGACATGGGGTATTTGAACATTCATTGATGTCTGTCTCACACTGATTCCCGGTGTAGCCGAGCACACAAGAGCAAGAGAAGGAACTGCCTGAGTTCTGAAAATGAATTTTGATGAAGAACATTATACCTTCATCATCCTCAATAATTCAATAGATAATATCTCAGCAATAGCACATTTATCAGCCAGGATTAATTGACACTATTTTGAGACAAGTTGGATTAAAAATACAATAAATTAGGATTATAACGAACTCATAAGGATCACTAACTTACCATGGTTTGCTCTTCAGCATTCAAAGTAGTGAGTGAATGAGTTAAGTTTTATGCCGCACTCAGCAATATACCAGCTATATGGTAGCAGTCAGTAAATAATCGAGTCTGGACCAGACAATCCAGTGATCAACAACATGAGCATCAATCTACACAACTGGGATACAATGATATGTGTCAACCAAGTCAGCGAGCCTGACTACCCGATCCCCGTTATTTGCCCCTTACAAGCATGGGTTACTGAAGATCAATTCTAACCCGGATCTTCACAGGTCCATTCCAAGTAAATATGCAGCAAGTGGCGGGGATCCCCCAGATATATCTGTCAGTTCACTGTAACCATGTTTGTTATCAACAAAGTTTACTGTAGATGAATGGGGATATTACTTATTCGCAACCTATTTGTTGCCTGCCCTCTAAATTACAGAGCCCATGTCAAGTAACAGACTCCTGTTCCCAGATTGTCCAGATTAGGATGAGTAACCTTTGTCTTTGCATCTTTAGTCTACATTTTTGCTGATTGACTTCGATATGTTTTTGTGTTATGACATGTGTCAACCAATGGGACATGTGAGACTGTACTGAGTCAAATACTCACTGTACAAGTTCCTCCATTCCTACATGGGAAGGAACTGCAAGCTCCAGAAGTGGATCCAGATCTAACACAACCATTGGCGCCAACGCCATTACCAACATATCCTGATGGGCATGTGCATGTTCGACCACTCAGACCTGAAATACAAGACAACCTGGGGGTAACAGTCAGTTCACATAACAGAATTCACTATGACTAGCAACATGGATAATAACAAACTACTGATGCTAAATACTTGCAAAAATCCGGTGGAATCTAATGAAAAAAGAACATCATAATTTGAGTTGGCATTTAAAAAAATGAATTACCGCAATTCTCACAAATTCCTCCCTGTTTAATTATCATCTTTAAACTAAACACAATTTTTGTTGTACTGATAGATAGGAAAACAGTGCCATGTAATACACTTACAGTACATCACTTGGATATGGAGTGTAAAGTATTTTTATTTTTTATTTTGTTAGGCCAGACCAATTTTATTTCTTGTTTTACGGATCCACCGGCCGTATTTTTTCAAGAATAAGAAAACAATAAAAACGAATTTTCCCCACTCAAAAAATAAACTCTTAACATTTTTTGGGCCAAAAATGTAAGCTTACAAGAAAAAAATTTTAGATTGAATTTTTTCCCATATCCACTTAATAAATTGCCAAACTTTTAGTATTTAGAAGGAATATTACTTTGACTGGTGATTTTATTTTTATATTTTTTCCCTCCTGCCTTTAGATTTTCTGATGACAAAAATCTGTAAAACAAGAAACAAAATTGGTCTGGCCTTATAGGATATTCATATAGCGCATGTATCCACGCAACTAGTACATGCTCAAGGCGCTGGGTTTTTGTATGATGCAACACATTCAGCTTGCTTACAAAATTTGCTGTCTGTGTTAATATTCAAGTATTTTTGAATAAATACTGCGCAGAAGGATTTCCCGGAGACTCTGAACAAAATTTCCCTAATATCCATACCCAATGATAATTTGACCGAAACTCACCTGGAGACTCAGAGCAGGTGGCTGATGGGAAACAGCCTCCATTGTTCACACCACAGATGCCAACAAATACACACGTCACACCATTACCCTGGTAGCCTTAAATGAACAAAATTATTATAAATTATCATAAAAATCATAATATTCATTCATTTATATTTCATTTTAGGGGGAAGGAGTGAGTGAGTATGGTTTTACGCCGCTTTTAGCAATATTCTAGCAATATCACAGGGACACCAGAAATGGGCTTCACACATTGTACCCATGTGGGGAATCGAATCTGGGTCTTCGGCATGACGAGCAAACGCTTTAACCACTAGGTTACCCCACTGCCCCTTTTAGGGAAGGACAACACATGAAATTATTTGTGTGAGAGAAGTTGGGCTTATTTAATACCAAGTAATCAATAAATAATAAAAATAAATTGTATTCCATATCTGTATGTTGGTTCAATAAGGGTCTAGGATATCACAATAACACTGTCTCACTGACCTTGGGGTCTGAATGCCATAGTTTGCTCTGACTCTGATTGTAGGGTTGTTGGTTCCACTCTTGGGTTTGATCAAAACTGAGGTGTCATGATATAATTCTCAGCTTAACAGCATTCAAGTAAATGTAACTTGCTCACTAATGTTCCTGAACATGGCTCAAGATCTACCTGATGGGGGAGGGCCCACATCTGTGAGAGCCCCGTGTGTTGATACACATGTGTTACTGAACATGGCACCAGACCTACCTGAGGGGCAGGGCCCACATCTGCGAGAGCCCCGTGTGTTGATACACTCCACCAAGGGGGACCGGGAGCAGCCTCCGTTGTTTGTACTGCACTCGTTCACATCAATGCAGGTGACACCATTGCCAGTGTAGCCTGCAACATGATCACAGTATTACACATTGATAATCTATGCAATGACAGTCCCTCATTCCTTAAAAGCTCTCCGCTTTACCCTACTCTTCCATTCACAATTCTCACCCTCCCTCTGTACTGGAATCCTTACGACTTTTCCAACTCTCTAACACAACCCTCACTACCTACTTTACCATTCACAGTTCTTAACCCCCCTCTGTACTTGAACAATTTCGACTTACACAAGTCAAGCACAACCCTAACTAACGACTTCAATCCCTACCCTAGCCTACCATTCACAATTCCTACCCTCCCTCTGCACTTGAACACTTCCAGCTTCTGCTGTCTGCTTTACCCTTGTAACTTCACCAATGTCCATCCCTCCCTTCATAAACACTCAATCTTCCACACTTCTCAACCCATCCGACTTCCACAAGTCTAACACAACACTCACTGCCTACTTCCAACTCTACCCTACTCTACTATTTACTATTCCCATCCTCTCTCTTCCATCCACCTTCCCCAACGCTCACTAATTACTTCCAACCCTACTCTAGTCTACCAATTTTCCCTCACCCTAAGCCCCCCTCCTCCCTAACTTATCCCCTCACTCACAGAACATGTGCATCACGACACCCTTCCCATCCTGCACTCTATATTCATAAGTCCCATGGAGATCAGGGTTAAAATCGCCCTTCAGTAACCCATGCTTGTCGTAATAACAGGATCGGGTGGTCAGGCTTGCTGACTTGGTTGACACATGTCATCAGTTCCTAATTGAGTAGATCGATGCTCATGCTGTTGATCACTTGATTGTCTGATCCAGACTTCGATTATTTACAGACCACCGCCATATAGCTGGAATATTGCTGAGTGTGGCATTAAACAACAACCAATCAATCTTTATTCCTAAACCGATTATTTGAAATACATACCCACTGGGCAGCTTCCACACACAAATGACCCAGGGATGTTTGTACACTGGACAGGAGGATCCTGGGAACACGGTGGATTACTAGCCGTACACTCGTTAACATCCACAGTACATGATGGGTTGGAGGCTGAGAGCTTGGTCCATCCATCGTCGCAGATGCATGTGTATTTGGGCTGTGGGCACAAATAGCAGTGCTAGCTGAGTGGCAAAATACACTAAAATTCACGTATGTAATAATCTGTTCTTGAAACACATTCATCTGTTTGTACACTCAGTATAATGTATATGATAACCATCATCCGATTATACATCTTGCCATCACCATATCTCCCACTACATCTTGCTATCAACCACCCACTCACTCACTCACTCACTCAATCATTCACTTATGCACCCAACTCCCTTATACACTTGCTCACTCATTACACCACAGTATCACTCACTCACTCACTCGCTCACCCAATAACTCATCCATTGCATGTCTCCTTGATTGGGGGCAGCGTGGTGGCCTAGTGGTTAAGGTGTCTGCTTGCCACGCTGAAGACCCGGGTTCGATTCCCCACATGGGCACAATGTGTGAAGCCCATTTCTGGTGTCCCCGCTGTTATATTGCTAAAAGTGGCGTAAAACCACTCACTCACACACCACATCACACGATCACTCACTCATCCATCCACTCACTCACCCACTACAAGTCACTCACCAATCAACCCACCAGCTCATCCACCAACTGACTTATCCACTACACCACACTACCAATCACTCTGTGATGCGGTTGAGATTTCCTCGAACAGGTGTGCATGCGCAAAATCGAAGTAGCAGGCTCTTCGATTTTTATCACATTTTAGCGATTTAAAGATACCGTCTGTACTGTTCCAGTAGCGAGGTATTATGTTTATGTTGCTATTTCCACGATTAATGTGGACTATTCAGCGTTTTTTCGGCACAATGGGAAAGTTTTCTTTGGTAGGCCTGTAGACACTAACACCCACTCACCTGGTTTGTCTGTGTTCTGGGCACGTTGACACATGTTCCATGTCCACACAGCTCTGACTGAGATGCTCCCCGTGCAGTCATCATGGGTCTCCCGACATCGTACTCCATGCCAGTTAGTTGGGCATTGACAACTGAAAATTCAAACAATGATTTTTCAGATTAACCGATGATTATTTGAAAATTATGTCCCAGAGACATTTCCAACACCTAATCCTTAGTTCGGTTAACTACAGGTATCCCAAGTTCAAAACTATTTGTGGTCGGAGGGATAGCGACCGCCTCCGTGGTGTAGTGGTTAGGGCGTCCGCCCGGAGAGCGGAAGGTCGCGGGTTTGATCCCCGGTCGCGTCATACCAAAAGACGTTAAAATATGGTACTTGTTGGTCTCAGTCTGGCGCTCGGCATTAATGTGTACAACAAGGACTGGTCGGCTCGGAGTCAGTATAACGTGTCTGAGTGGGGTATTCATGCTTCACTGCGGCATGGTATCATAGTGAGCTAGCACTGTAAAACCAGTTTAAGTCTGGGCTAGTACAAGCAGCCGCACATACACAAACACACGCATGCACGTCGTCATATGAGCGAAATATTCTCAAGTACGACGTAAAACCCAATTTCACCTCACCTCACCTCGGAGGGATAGCCTGGTGGTTAAAGCATTCACTCATCATGCCAAAGACCTGGGTTCGATTCCCCACATGGGTATAATGTGTGAAGCCCATTTCTGGTGTCCCCCCACTCACTCACTCACTCACTCAAAACTATTGGATGTGATTTTGGGAGGCATGAGAGTGAGTGAGTGTGTTTAGTTTTACACCATTTTTAGCAATATTCCAGCAATATCAAGGTGTGGGACACCAGAAATAGTCTTCACACATTGTATACGTGGGGAATTGAACCTGGGGCTTCAGCGTGATGAGCGAATATTTTAACCACCAGGCTACCCCACCACACTTGTGGGTCATGAAACAAAAGCATGCAACTAACAGTCATCAAGAGGATTTACCAAGAATCACAGGAGACATGTAAAGTTTGACCAACAAACAGAGGACTACAGAACAGCGACCACTTCACTGTTATCCTGTCTACCTAACCAGGAAGGCAGGCAGCAGAACATTTGTCATTGGCTGTGATTGGATGATTCTAAACACAGCATTCATTGGTCCTCAGAACCAGATAAAAACTAATAGCACACTGCTTGAAGTTTGTTTGTTTGTTTATGAGAATTAACAATAACAATAATTAAACAGCCTGTAATATTTTTTCTTTGATTGGCATGAAGCAAGAGGACAATTTTTATGAATATACAACCTCTTTATTCGGTATAGGTGACATTTCGAATAGATTCTAATGTCGTTGTCAAGCAAGTGGTACATGTGACATTTTTTGCTCCAAACAAACTTTCAAAGTGAACACATGCACACATCTAACCAGTTATGGTACGGATTTGAACCAGATATATTTTATGGTGGGGGAGGGGGTTAATTGGAATGCACAACCTGCTGACTGGAATCACTAAGCTCATACCTGGCTTTGCAGCAACTCATTTCAAAGTGAGTTTTATGTCACTTTGTACTTAAGTTATTTAACTATTTAAGTTATATAACACATGATACCAACTTGAAATGGGAAGTGAGTGAGTGAGCAATATTCCAGCAATATCATGGCAGTGGACACAAAAAATGGGCCTCACACATTGTGCCAATGAGGGGAGTCGAACCGGGTCTTTGGTATGGCGAGCTAACACTTTAGCCACTAGACTACCCCACTGCCCCTGAAGTGGGAGACCGCCTCCGTGGTGTAGTGGTTAGAGCGTCCGCCCGGAGAGCGGAAGGTCGTGGGTTCGATCCCTGACTGCGTCATACCAAAAGACGTTAAAATATGGTATTTGTTGGTCCCTGCCTGGCGCTCGGCATTAATGGGTACATCAAGGACTGGTCGGCTCGGAGTCAGTATAATGTGTCTGAGTGGGGTATTCATGCTTCACTGCGGCATAGTATCTCAGTGGGCTAGCACTATAAAACCAGCTTCAGTCTGGGCTAGTACAAGCAGCCGCACATACACATACACACGCATGCACGTCGTCATATGAGCGAAATATTCTCAAGCACGACGTAAAACCCAATTTCACCTCACCTCACCTGAAGTGGGATGACAGTCCAAAGTGATGCAGGTTTTAGAAATTCATGACTTTGATGACACAAACCAGCTCAGACAAACAAGCTTACCTGAAGCCTCCTGGCGTATTGGTGCAGGTGCCGCCATTTTGGCAGCCAAGGTCAGTTCCAGCATAAAGCGCATTCATTAACATCAGTTTCACAGGTGGAACCCTGCACAAAGGATGAACAAATCAATGTTACACTAATGATCAGAATATTAACCTTGAATCTATATAAAGTCCTTTCTTATCCTATGGTGAGTGAGTGAGTGAGTTTAGTTTTATGCCACACTCAGCAATATTCAAGCTATATGGCAGCGGTCTGTAAATAATAGAGTCTGGACCAGACAATCCAGTTATCAACAGCATGAGCATTGATCTACACTATTGGGATACGATGACATGTGTCAACCAAGTCAGCGAACCTGACCACCCGATCCCGTTATTGAGACAAGCATGGGTTACTGAAGACTGATTCTAACCCTGACCAACCGATCCCGTCAGTCGCCTCTTACGGCAAGCATGGGTTACTGAAGATCAATTTATTATTTACAGACCGCCATATTACTGGCAGATTGCTGAGTGCAGCATTAAACAACAAGCAACAACAACAGTGCCAGGTACTTACCGTCCATGTTGTTGGACAAAGGCAGAAGTAACCGTTGAAGAGGTCAACACAGGTTCCGCCATTGCGACAGGGACGATCAGAACACTCATTTGTCGTAAGAAGCTGAACAAACATCACATACAAGACTTCATAACACCGCAACAAAATGACTAGAGAGGCCTATTTGTTAAAGCTGATTATTTTCACTCAAGACATTTTGGAAAAAATTATTTTATGAACTTTCTCTCGTAAGAGACATGATAATTTCCAAGAAACTTTCAACAATATTTCATGTTGGACTGGTAGTCGAAAATCCATGTTGCATATACCTTATTTCCTATATTTTCATTATTATTAGATGTTTTTGTATCACTTACTGTTTGAAGGTTTGACATTTGACTCTCAAGGGTCTGAACCTAAAAATACAAAATACTATGTTAAATCGTGAAAAACCGATATCCTATTTATCAGAAGCGTCGTTAGTTTGAGAATAAAAGCATCCTTCTTATATATAAGAAAGAGAATGGATGTCAACTTCTTTATTACGATAAACACAACATTTATGAGTATACCATTTCTCCTCCATCAGGTAAATGTTCTTATATATGGTTTGAATGGCTGATTAAAAAATGTAATACTTTGAAAAGAAATTTTGAGAATAGGTGAAAATAATAATTCATACAAAATAGACAGATTACTGTAATATAAGATATTAAAATTAAACTTTTATAAACACAAATTTCAGAAAAAGCAAGACTACAATAAAGAAATCAGAGTTGATGCTGTAGTAGAGTGCATGATAAGTACTGACATAAGTAATGATGCAATAAGTCTAAAGTCTTTGTATACAACTATACTCAACATGCACACTAGCAGGCCTCAGCTAAATGTTTATCACTGGTCATATGTTTACCTCAAATTGTGCATGTATCTACTTGGTGTTAACAGAGACTATGTCATGCAGGAGCCGCCTCCGTGGTGTAGTGGTTAGAGCGTCCGCCCGGAGAGCGGAAGGTCGCGGGTTCGATCCCCGACCGCGTCATACCAAAAGACGTTAAAATATGGTACTTGTTGGTCCCTGCCTGGCGCTCGGCATTAATGGGTACAACAAGGACTGGTCGGCTCGGAGTCAGTATAATGTGTCTGAGTTGGGTATTCATGCTTCACTGCGGCATGGTATCTCAGTGGGCTAGCACTACAAAACCAGCTTCAGTCTGGGCTAGTACAAGCAGCCGCACATACACATACACACGCATGCACGTCGTCATATGAGCGAAATATTCTCAAGCACGACGTTAAACCCAATTTCACCTCACCTCACCTATGTCATGCAGGAGTGTTACAGAACTTGTCAAACACCATTGGTAAAGAGTCACACAACTTTGCTAACATTGAAGGTGCCCCCAACTTTGACAGAGTATCTTACACATTTAAAATCGACTATCATCCAACATCATCAGAGCATCAAACAACATTAGCAACTTTACTTTGTTAAATACATTAGTCAAGTGCCATCCACCATTGGCAGTGTACTTTACACATGCAACATGAGAAAAATGATGCACAACATCAAAGAGTACCCCATTTCATTGGCAGAGTGCCATGCAACCTTGGTCATTAGCTAAGTGAACAAGAACATCAGCTGAGTGAACAAGAACATCAGCTGAGTGAACAAGAACATCAGCTGAATGATCAAGAACATTAGCCAAAGTGAACAAGAACATCATATGAGTGAACAAGAACATTAACTGAGTGAACAGGAACATTATTAAAGCAGAACCAGTTAAATGCAACTGCATTTAAGACATGTTCCACACAAACGTTCATGCACATAAACCGAGTGACTGAGATCTATGTGCACATGCACGACCATGCCTCTGTCATAACCCTGGTTTACCCTGTTCCTAAGGTTCCTGAACTGTGAGCTACTGCTAAGGGGTCTAATCCTTGATGGGCGTCTCCTAAGTCCCCTTCTTACCTAATGAACACAAGCACCTCCATCAAAATATACAAAAATAATAGCTGCTCCAATTTCTCACCCCAACAACTTCATCCATGGTGATTTTTGGTGTGCAATTTCGTGGAATGATATTTTCACATGTGTATGATATTGCACAACTAGTTCAAATCTACAAAGAATGGAAGCGTGAATCTGAAATAGGAACGTTATATTATCTGGTCATTGTGAGAATCCTACCTTTGTACGTAGAGTGCCGATGGACGTACCCGACTCCAGTGTTGTCACCTGTTAAAACCATGCACACATGCAAAGACATGGAAACCCTGCTAATCTGGACAACACTGTTCCCAGTGAAATCAAGTTGAACAAATTTCTGGATAAATGTTTCTTCATTTGTTTTTTAATCATCACCCTCACTAAGCAATATTCCAACTGTATGGAAGTGGCCTGTAACTGTTCAAGTCTGGACCTGACAAACCAGTGATGGATATTATTAACAAGGAATCACATGGGGTTATGATGTCACTGAGTCAGACCAGCGGATCCCTTTGATTGTTTACTATGACCAGCAGACAGTTCTAAACAGGAATCCCAATGACAGCTGGTTTAATGAAACATGTAATTTGTCTTTAAATATTGTTTCAAACAGTAATTGTTGAAATGCAAAACGTCAGATTACCAATTTTCAGATTGTCAGGGTTTCACTGTAAATCAAGTAAAAGTTAAACCTACCAAAGCAAACTTTCAAATAAAGTGAGTTGGTGAGTTAAGTTTTACGCCGCACTCAGCATAATTCCAGCTATATTGGAGCAGTCAGTAAATAATCGAGTCTGGACCAGACAATCCAGTGATCAACAACATGAGCATCAATCTACGCAATTGGGATACAATGATATGTGTGAACCAAGTCAGCGAGCCTGACCACCCGATCCCGTTAGTCGCCCCTTATTACAAGCACGGGTTACAGAAGATCAATTCTAACCTGGATCTTCACGGGTCCTTTCAAATAAACCAATTTCAAGATAACTTATTAAAATACATCTAAACAAACGCCCATATTTTCAAATATTTACATGCTGCAAAAGATTAGGATATCAGAAATATGAAATCATGCATTTTTCCTATAATACATGTAGTTACGCCACTCAAGCAAATATGATATCCAATGGCAGTAGTTTTAAAAAAATATTTTCTTCCTTTTTGTTGATTTACAGATCTTAACATCAAAAATAATTCTGGGAAGGACGTCTTTGTTTCTCTGACTACTGACGATGAAATTAGCACTTGGAAAAATCTTCCAATTGGGCAGAGCTGCATTTCATGTAGCGCGCTCTTAGGACTATCATGATTGTAACTCTGACACTGTAACATGTACTAAGATCACTTTGTGGTTCCAAGCGGGCCCTGACTAGGAACAGTTATCTCCCTTACCCGTGTTTCAACTGTTGAGATTCGATTTGTAATTGATGTGAATTGTGTGAGGACAGCCCCTGTAGGCTGCAGGTTGTTCAAACGACCCTCGACAGATGTCAGACGTGTTGCGGCATTCTGCGGCACCTGAAAACAAATACCATGAAACTTAAATTGTGTTCGAGTGAGTGATTCAGCGAGATTTTGTGAAGCGTAACACTCTGTTAACACTTTAAAGGCAGGGAAATATCAACGATACATTCTGTGAATTTGTGCATTTAAAATAATGAACCACTCCCTATTAAGCTGCTATAGACCATAATGAATGCTCCCCCGTGCAGTTGTGTTGCACAAAATGTCATTGGTGTAAGGCACATTTCATCTGGATATAAAATGCAGTACAGTTATAAGTACCGAGGCCCGTTATGACACGTTACAAGTATTTTACCCTTTTGGGAATCAAACCCAGGAGTTTGAACCCAGGTCAACGAAACACTTATCCTGCCAGCTAACAGGTGCAGTGGCTGTCTGTGGCCTTACATTAGACTCCACAGTGGTCATCCGCGTCCCAAGAGAGGTGAGCTGAGTCTGGACCTGTCCAGTGGGCTGCAGGTTGTCCAGTCTGTTGTTGATCTGGGTGATCTCTGTAGCCACGTTGTCTGGGATCTGTTCACATAAAATAAACACTGTTGCATAAAAAGATATTGGGGTTGGGGGAACCATAACATGAGAATATGTTGGAGGACACATTAGATGAGAGTTTGTTTGTTTGTTTTATTGTTTAATGCCACTTTCAGCAATATTCCAGCTATATGGAGACAGTCTGTAAATAATTGAGTCTGTGATCAATCCAGTGATCAACATCATGAGCATCAATCTACATAATTGGGATACAATGACATAGATCAGTAAAGGAGGGAGCGTGGTTTGGGGGCACCACTACATAAAGTATGTTGGAGGGATTATTAGATAAGAGAATGTATATGTTCATTGGGGTGAGGTGAGGGTCTACTTAATGATATGTTACAATTTGTTTAAACACTGTGCACCTCTCAACAGTTAATACAGCTAGACTTTTTCCTCTTTTTCTTACGACATAATATTTCCAACCAAATTCAGTCAGCATACTTACAGAAGTTGGGACATTCTTCAGCTGGTCAATTGAGACTTTGTTGTCGCACACCTGTAAAAGCAATCATTTGCAAATAATTGTAAACAGAGCATCCATCTCAGTGGATCTGTTGAACAATTTAGGCAACAATTAGTTTTTTTCTTGTTTTAATCTTAAATTCCACTCAGTTACATGTGCTGAAATTGTTGTATATAGATTTAACGAATATCCACCATCCATTTTCAAGAATGTATGATGACGATTATCATAAAGTTGTTGATGTTAACATTTTCGTTTAAAGCCACACTCAGCAAATATTCCCGCTATATGGAAGCGGTATGTAAATAGTCGAGTCTGGACCAGACAATCCAGTGATCAACATTGTGAGTATCAATCTATGCAATCGGGATACAATGACATGTGGGGTCTACCAAGGTCAGCGAACCTGACCAGTTGATCCTGTTAGTCGCCTTATACGACAAGTACAGGTTGCTGAAGACCAGAGACCATATACTGATGCCATATTGGATCTTCACAGGTGGTTATCATAAAGATAATAAACATAAAATAGTATTCTGTCCCTTAAAAGAATTATTCTAAATCATGCCTGCAAGTCTAAGGTGTTGTTTTTAGCTCTGAAATGAACCATTGTTCAGCGTTCCATTTTGATAATATTTGTAACATTGTAGATGCATTGTTTATAGTTATGATAACTATATTTCTAGAACTAAATGTCAGTCTTAAAAAAAAAGCCTGAACAAAACTGTACAATTTGTATGTGGGTTGAAGATATCAATATATATTTGTTATATAATTTGTGGATATCCACATTGAGGCCTCATAATTTTCATAACTTGTTTTATGGACTTTACAGGCCAGTCAATGAAATTAACAGAAACATGTTCATTGTTTAAAGACTTATGAGACTAAGACTTGAATTTCAAGCTACATAAGGAATCAAACAAGAAAATATAAATATTAATAATAAATTACCATCTCAACGCCATCAATCGTCTAATAAAAACTTTAAAACCTGTCTTACACTGGTCTTTATGATTCAGGAAAAATAAAAACTGATAAAAAAACAGCATAAAAACATATGGCCTTCACATTAGTTAATGAAAATCCCAAGCTAGGTCAGTGTTACACAGTAACACACGCATAATTGTGAAACCTGATTCAAATCACACCCCTATCAGTCTCCGCCATGTTGACATCACACCCCCAGCCCCAACATGCTCTAGACAAACTGAGAATACAATAGAAGGGATACCTGATACTACATCGGACCATCCATGTCATCTGAGAAGAGAACATATCTCTTTCACAGGTATTTGTAGCCAAGTGATAGCTATTACTCACTAAACTATGTTACAGCTATGTCAAGCGTATATTTATTACCCTAGACTATGTTGGTATAGAACACAGTTACAACCCACTGACCTATGTTCAGGTATTTAAGAAAAACAGTTCACTTTACTCCATGTATAGTAATATAATTACAGTTTCGCCCTAAACTATCATAGTTAAAGCACAAGTACACTTTGATATTTCACTGAAGCTTAGAATACCCAGTAACCTATGTTATTACCAAATGTAGAGTACAGTTATTACCCAGAAACCTATGTATTACATGTGACATGCAGTTATCACACACTTACGTATTATATAATGGGTAAAGTTATAAAAATACAGTTAATTTGCACTAAGCTATGTTATAACCATGTACACAGTACAGTTTATAATATCAGATGCATACCTTTGTGAAAAACAAATTTATGTTTTAATTAAACTTGTTCTGTTGTTGCAGCAAAAGCTTCAGCATACACAAAACAACACAATTTCCACAATATTAATACACAAACAACAGATCATATTGGAGGTGGTATCTTCTGATATCTTCATTTCATGTTGTTTCTCTTCCCCAGATCAATTCCACAATTACAAAACTTGAAAATTAACAGATAGTTTACAATAAATAATTATACAATTAATCCTGATGATTAATTATTCAACCCATGCCTTGATTAAGTCATTGTGAGCTGTTTTGAAGTTAACGTAGTCAGGTCTACATAATTAAGATTAGTAATTAGGTAATTAGCATAAAGAGAACTAGCGTATCCCTTTACCCCTGACATGAACAGTCATGTTGAGCTCTACTGTACTAACTACAACATCAAACACTAAATTCTTATCTTAACCATCCACAAATTTGATGAATTACAGAAAATAATTTGTTCAAATTTTAAATTATGCAACATAATGATTAGCCACTAATCTGTGAGCATCATTTAACCAGTGTTGTTCATCCACGTCCAATCAAGCCCCAATACCTTGATCCTAGTTGATACCCTATCTCGACAATCGTCAGTGTTTACTAATGTACAAAAGGGCTGTAATATGATCCACTGTGTTCGTGCTGATAATGACATAACCTGATACCCTCACATGGATTGGACATTGTCTCTTACAGATCATCCAACACAATCGGCAGGGGATTGTGGTTCGGATTGGTAGGTATCATTCATCACATCCCTGATCAAATTTTGCCACCTTGTATATTAAACTCTGTATGACATCAGACTTACTATAGTGCTGAATCTCAGTCAGCAGATCATGAATGTACTTAACATTCTAATGGGTCTGACGATGTTACCAATACTCCCAAGACTCTCTATCACTGTTTGCTTCCCTCATGTGCCTAAGCAAAATATTAAAATATATTTACAATTACTAATGTATTTTCTAAACTTACTAATCCTAATTTAAATTAAATTTAAATTGCTGTTTTGTTTTATGCTTACAGAATGTTCTGACATATATTTCTCAGAAAGAAATTTCTTTCATCTGTTCTAGAAATAAAGGATATATATTGTATGGAATTGAATGTATGTTTACCATTTTCAATAAAAAATGATATTGACATTTAACAGTGTGGAAAAGGTTATGAAGTCCTCACTTTGATGGGTAATTTATTGTTGTTACTTATAATATTATTTATTGTATCAGTCCTCAGGGAATATGGGGTGGCCTAGTGGTTAAAGTGGTTGCTCATCACACAGATGACCTACATTCAATTCCAGTCATGGTTGCAATGTGTAGAACCCATTTCTGGTGTCCCCTGTTATGATATTGCTTGAAACTTGCTAATATCCTGATGAACCATTACTCATTACAGTACAAGCACTCTATTGCCAGAGTTATTCGCAGCTCTTAACAGTGACTGTGTTTTCTCTCATGATCAGATTGATTTACTTTGATTGCTGACTCAAAACCAAGTGTCCTGAGAAACAAGTAACATCCATGGTCATCAGGGTAGAGCGTACATTACCTCGTTATTTTACCATGATGATAAACAAGATTATGGTTTTGAACAAAATTAGTTTTCCTTCATTATTCAAATTCAAGATCATTTCAAGAAAATGATCAAATATACTGTAATAACCAAAGCTGCTTTGAAATGTTATCCTAATTTCTTGTATTGCCTTCCTTTATGGCTACTCCCCATATCCTGTTTCTACCCACCATTTTGGTGTCTAGTTTGTCTACCTGACCCTGACAAATATATACCCAATACAGCCCATGCAAGTCTTGATTACCAGTTTCTGAAAATGAAGAAAGTGTCTGGGCTCCTTTTTATTATATTTAATGAATATAATTTGGCAACTGTTTTTAAGGAAATTCTGTTCATTTCAGAGACTAGATGTTAGGCTAGCTGGAGTCGAAGAAACTGTAATGAGCATAGCAAGTTCTGACATTAAACTGATCAAAGGCTGGATATCATGGCAAATAACATCCAGATGTGTTATAGTAGGCATGAAATAAAGATTGGTCAACCCTGGGCGATTCCAACACCTTGATAAGGGGTGTGAAGCACGAGCAAATGACCAGTCACGAAGTGAACAACAGAATGACACAGACTGATACAAATTTATACCCAAGGTGTTGCAAAATGTTAAAAGGATAGGATGCATCCTCTAAATCTGCACAAATCCTATGGAGCAAACATTTTCACCTGTGTATTTGAATCTGAGAAGGAATGTACGCCTGCATAACCAGATC